TGCTAAAAAAATGAGTAAATGAACACAGTATCACTTTTTTACGTTGTATTGTTTTTTTCTTTATTGGTATTTAATACTTTGAACATGTTAAAAGTTTATTTAAAGTGAGTTAAACATCATTAATTTGATATTCAGCCATTATACAAAGAGGAATAAAATGTTTGCATTCTTTTTACAATCATTTATACTCAAGTATTTGTATTTGTTTTTGTTTTTTTCCATATGTCATTGTCACAAAATCATAAAGATAACTAACATCAACTAAAAGAGCTAAATCATACAAATTAGAAATGCAAAATAAGAATTTTAATTCAACCCAGTTAAATTGAATGGCTTTCTTTCAAATGTTGCCGAAAAAGCAACCAATTGAAAATAAATATCCGATCAAATTTATCAAAATAATATTTTCAAACAGGAAACAAATACACTATAACACGTGAGATGCATTGGTGACTTGAACATTTAAAACCAATAAACATAACCGAATAAATGTTCATATATTGTACTTATGACGGTGGATATAACACATGGAGAGGCACCTGGCTAACACATGACTGAGTCAGTGAGAGATTGGTAATGGTAGTTAAGAATTTAAAGCTATTACATTCGCGAATCAAGAGCAGACTATATCACATTAAAAAAAGGTATTCCTGCAATGCACACTGTACATGAAAGGTACGAAGTATGAGGGTTTTCTATTAACCCGTTGACTTACTGAATTATCTAATTCCCATAGGCTTAATACAGCGACCACCCGGTTCCAGCAGGCAATGGGTTAACTTGTCAACGAAGGAATTATTTGGGGTTACCGTTTTGTTTTCGGACTTATACAATATTTTGTCAATTTTGGAATCATAGACCCTATTGCATTTTCGGAATAAGGAACATTCGTAAAAACGACATGTAACCGAATTCTTAAAGTGGAAATATTTTAAAGATCCGGAAATAATATAATATCAGACTTGTGAAATCTGAAAGAAATAGGTAAGGAAACCCTAAGATGAAATTACAGGGCCTATAAACGTCCGACGACGTATGTTTATGACATGTTCTATGCACGTTACTTTTTTAACTGACTTTTAAATCAAAATAAAGTCGCGACCCTCTTGGCTCTATCGGATAACATCAGCTCCCATGGAGCTAGAGATGATGATAAGTTAATGTGCTGGTAGAACAACATGGCATCTCCACATGCACAGACGGGGGCCTGGGAGAAGGTTTCTGCCCGCTGTCACAGTGTGAGATATGGTGTCTCCATGTATTGTATTGTAATGGGTCTTGGTTAATAATTAATAGAAGATGAATGTCAACTTAATCGGAGTTACAATGTGATAAGTGCAGCGGCATTCCATTACAGTTTATAGTCGCAGCTAGAAGGGGTCTATTTGGGGGTTTATAAAGCGCTTCTGAAATAAATCAACGTTGTCTCTAAGCATTTTAACTGCCCGGACTTCGGATTCAGGCTTTTTCATTCTTTTGATTTGATTTGATTTCTGCATTTTTGCCAAATATAAAAACTGAATAACAAAGAACATATAAACGTAAGGTATAAGACAAAATATACAAACCAAGATAACTTCGTGTCAAAATGTTACTTACATAATATGTTATAACGAAACTTAATATCTCTATAACATACTATTATAAACTTTAAGTATTATCCGAACTATCTGTGGACAAATATCTGTAGGATGGCGGCCTCAAACGAAAACTCTTAATTTAAAATGAAAAAGTGTTTAGACGATCTTTGTGTATGAGTTTGTGAGCGTGCAGTATCAGTGTATTATGCGTATGTGTGTGTGTGTGTGTGTGTGTGTGCGTGCGTGTGGTGCGTAGGCGTGTGTGCGCGAGCGTCCGTGTGTGTGTGTGGAGCAAATTGTGGAAGTGCACGTATCTCTTTGTTGTATCGTGTAGTGGAACCAAATGCAGCCTTTTCAATAAAGGAAACAAAGAATACGAAATAGAATACAAAATATCCAAAAAATGACTTTCAATGTGACCAAAATTTGAGATATCAATAATATTAATACTGCTGCATTTTGAAATCAATTGTGCAGATATTTCGATGTAAGAGGGTTTTTTAAAGAGAAAGTATATAAGAATAAAGAGATGAACAATGCCTTATCGAATTACGTAAGGAACATCTAGTCCATGATGTCTTACTGACTTTTGGGCTAAATATTGTTAAGGATTTACTAAGTGATCATTTTTTGAACGGTGGTGGGATATGTGTGAATGTTTGAGTTTAAACTGTAAATGTTGTGAAATAGTGATAGGACTTGATTATGAGAATATTTATACATAAAAAATGCTTGTCTGAAAAATGTGAAAATCTTGTATTTTTAATGTTTTTAAACGATGAAGTAAAGGTTCCATGTGTGATAAATAATTTGAGTTTGAAATCATGCGCATCGCTCTCTTTTGAAGCAAACATAAGGAATTAATTCTTGTTATGATACAATTGCCCCGTACAATATTACAACATAAGTGTTTGTTAAACTTATACAGTATTCCAATATTCCTTGATATTGACGTATGTATACTACTACGTATATGCTCATTAAAATATAGGTGAGAGTCAATAGTGACTCCTAAAACATTTTTTAGGTAAAGGTATCAGTGGTAACATAATCAAAATCGCTTCCAGGTCTCAAAAGCAAACTGTTTATAACCTTTAAATCATAACCAAACAACAGTAGCAACATAATCAAAACAAACAAAATGATAAAATACCTATGCAGACGTTCTTAGGTTTATCAGTTCAAAAATCAGTTCTTTCAAAACGAGTCTTCTGCTCATGCGCATAATATTATATACATATGGACATGAATATGTACGAGGTTCGTAACAGTATGTCATGATCAAACTTTCACACCGAGCTTTTATATAGGGAGCCCTAGTTTTTAAGTGCTCTATCTGGTGACCTCCCCCCCCCCCCCCCCCCACGTTTGAAAAATACCTGCCACCCCTGACCAAAATTGCAAGTAGAGTTATGTCTCTGATGCTTGTCAACGTTAAAGAGATTCAGTATATCACATCACTACAGACAACCTGTCACGAAACATGATCATTTAAAAAGGGCCGACCTTAACATGCATCACCTCATATACAGGTATTCATTGTTCGAATGTAGATGTTTCCTCTCAGCTATTTCCATTTTGTCCCGACTCTCCCGAGCGTTTACTTCCCGATAAATTCTCACGCCCTAATAAAAATAAATCCAAGAAATATATTTCAATGGGCATCAAAGAAAATTAATATTCTTCTCTACCTCAAAGTATAGCCGAGAGGCTATTATGCGACCACGGAGTCCTCGAAATTAAATGTGTTGATAATCCGTGCCTTGACGGCTCCTACTTGGTAATGTGGTACAAGGAATATGGGATCTAAAAAAGATCACATTGAAGTTTATCGTTTTCAATATTAATGACAATTTCTCAAATGAGAGAAAAAAGATCTTCACACCACAATTGATCAATTAATATCAATTATGTATTACCTGTGAAAATATCAATGTATAAATTTGTATTGTCTTATCATCATCTCAACCAACATCACCACCATTATTCTCAGTGCAGTATCGACTTTAATACATCTATTTTATTATGAATTACGTTATATTGTGATGAGCTGGAACAGTTTGGTAAGTATTCCAATGCCAACCAAGTATGTGATGAGCATGACTGTTAATTTTCGAATATTACATGTCAAATTAAGATATAATGGATTTTCAATCACAAAGCCAATTAATATCGCCAGAGTTTTTGTTCCGAATTATGTTACAGCAAATGCCTAACATTTTCTTCCAACAAAGATAATCTCACACAGTTAACTAAACTATTTCATACCCTTGTCAATTAATTTGTGTGTGTGTGTGTGTGTGTGTGTGTTTTGCCTTCCTCAAGAATGAAAGGTGGATTGGTTGGATTAGGGCTAGCTTTGTTGAGTACCTTAAGTTTATATGTAAGCTTTAATATGTCATCATTCTCAAGAAACATAAATTGGGACAAACCAATTTTTCACATACTTTTAGAAATACAAAACTTCGTAAGGGTATGACAAATTTAGTTGTATATACTTCAAGCTAACCAGTCACCACCTCAGCTGTATCCCACTTACACCTCTCTCAATATTTTCAGAATCCTTGCTGCTCTAATTACGATCGTGATTCCTTATCTGATAACCCAGCCATCAGCTGGCCTATCCCAGTGTTTAGACGCGCGAGATTCCTTTCTTCCGATCGAAATGCTACACCCTGGTATATTGGTTACCGCGTCTCTATTCATTGCGATAATACAGTCACTTTACCACAGACATCAAGCGAATAGGTTACGTCTACTCTCTCAACCAGGCTGCTGTATTCAATTTGATTTATTGTTTTCACTAAACGAGGATAAATACTTTTTTACATGGATATATGAATAAGAGTATTCGGTAAGGTAAGAACGTTTCAGTTACTTTGTTTTGTGTCGTAATTATTTCTTAATGGTTTCTTAAAGGATTAAATGCGCCATCGATTGAAAGAAGTAATCAAGTGAAAACTTCATAAACTTTATTTCAGCTATGAAGTTATTTCCCTTAGTTTTTCTTTATTCTTTGAATATTATTGCAAAATGATTCAACATCATTATTATTGATTTGAGTGCCTTGCAAATGCCCTGAGCATGATGAAGATAAATCTTACATTGATTTCGATGTAATTTTATCTAAAGTGAGAATACGTATATGGTGACGGAACGTGAACAATACAAGTTGATCTTTCGGTGCAACATTTGGTATGTTTTACGTTACCCGCATGTTTCTAGTTATGAAATGATAATTATATTTTCAAATATATCCAACATTTGCCATTTTTCCTTTTTCTTCGACGTTTAACTTCTTTATCGGATAGTTGCCAAATAAACAATAAATTTTCGACTTCAAATAATATGTCAGAATGCAAGAGAACATTCTAAATTTACATTTATCCTTATGTGGGGTCTGTCTAACGATTTGTCTCTTTATGTTATTGCAGATTGTATAAATCCCGGATGCACATCGTTCTGTATTGCGTATCTTAAATAGGGTAAGTGTCTCAATAAACTAGGATAGAAAATATTCTTTATTTTCAGAGCTTTTTAATTATACTAACAGGCGTTTGCAATTTTTGACCCTCAAAAATAGATCGTGAAGACCGACCGGTACTTTTAATAGGCAAAGTGTGTTAGACATAAAGATGGACGAGGGATTTTTTTTTTTCAAATTTCAGATTCAAAGTCTCTGCCAATGGTGTGGATCTGGTGACAGCCTTTATGATTCGTTTATTTTTAATTAGATAGTTTAGATAGTTTATTGGTTTCCACAATATCTCATTTTACAAAGAGTATTGAAAATGATTATTTTATACATGTACATACAATACCGGTACACACTATTCAGAATATTATCCATTAAGTTTAACTTAAGAGATAAAGTGGCGGACAAATTCTCTTCGAAGAAAGAAAAAATCACAGTGAAATATGATCACAACTGCTTTCGAAAAAACATTTTAGGGGCAATTTCAATACTCTATTCTATTCCCCATATAAATCATGTTCGGATTTCTTAAGACATCTTTGTTATGTTCGCACTTTTCAAAATGTCACGTTCGAGGCAAAGAAAGTAGGATGACTTTTACAAAAGTATAAGTGTAAATGAATGTACGTCTTCAAACATCTGTCATCATCTATACGTCATGAAGAGTATTAAGAACCTCACTTTATTCTCCACCCCCCCCCCCCTCCCTCTAGCATCAAATTGGGAAGGATAACAAACGCTCATCTGTCGTACATCTGACAACCATCTCATCCAATTATACCAGCTGACTTGTTTCCAATCATGCCGAGCTTGAGCACGCAATCGAGCAAGACATCGCTGTCATGGCCGGGACATCCCATGGCCGCAGGTAGCTACATGCTTCAGGCAGCTCAAGAACCTATCCTGGTGACCCACACCAATTTCCAGGGTACAGCGCCCCCCAGTCGCTCCTGCAGTGCAAACAGTGACCGCGCCCGATCAAATGCTAGTGGCCACGCCCGATCACCAACTACTGACCGCACCTTTAGCCACACCAGCACTAGGAACACCTCCAACGGTACGCATTACAGGTGCTTCTGCACAGCGGCCGTCTTGTGCTCACTCCTCGCTGTGAGCCTCCTCATCGCTGGTTTGGTTTTCCTGCTCGATGGTGTCGCGTCGACGTCCAGAACGATGGGCATCATCCTCGTCGTCGTTGCTACATTAGTGACAATATGTGCCTTGGTCATATGGAGATACACGTGTCAGCGGCACAAGATAGTCAAGGAAACGCAACAAGACGTAACCTTAAAGTCCGTTAAATCCAACAACAGTCCATCTTACGTAGCGCGGGAAATATATCTCTAGCTAAAAATGGCATGTGATTGCGAAAGACTTAATTGAATTTATAATAATTTGTAACAAACTTCGACTTCTGTTAACCTGGGTCAGAAATAACGGTATTCTGTTTTATCAAGCAGTACTAGTGATTTGGAGCGTTACGTCACATCAGGAGTTTACATAACGCTCTGTTGTCTCGCCAGTCAATTATGTTCTCTTTTGTTTCCAACCAGTTAGTGTTTTGGGGAGAGTTGTTTCCAAGAAAAGCATTTTAATGTTAAAATGTAATTCATGTAGTTCCTTGGGAAATGGGGAACATGTTCATATATTAGGAAAGATTCCCCCTCTCCTTTGTTTAAAGGTATACATTTGAGCTAATTAAGTTGGAGTGCTGCTATTGATAAATATGATGTGTTTCATGCAGCAAGACATACAACAAAAAGCGACCCAAATATATCTCTAAAAAATAAGTCTAAGGGCAATTATGGCGTAAAGTGCATTTCGTATAAACGATCAAAAAGCAGAAAATGAAGAGTCAAAGCTACGTTTAATTTTTTTTAAAGTGGATTACTCGGTTTTGTAGAAGTCAAAGCACAATACATTAAAAATTAAATATCTAGGCATATTATAACAACACTTTCTGCTATTAGTTGTCATGTATCTCTGTGTAATATGTGCATTTGAAACATTTTAATCATGTTTTCCCCCAGTAATGCTACTTGGTATGAATTTACTAACATTGAAGAAGAAGAAGAAGAAGAAGAAGAAAGATAAGGGAGAAGGAGAGTAAGAAGAAGAAGATGAAAAAGAAGAAAGAAAAAAGCACGAAAGAAGAAGAAGAAAGAAAGAGATAAAGGAGAAAAATAAAGAAACAAAGAAACAAAGAAAGAAGAAAAAGGAGAAATGAAAGATCGAAAGAAGAACCCCAAAAAAAGAAATAAAGAAAGGGAATGATAAGCTGAAAACGATTGTGCAGTACATCGCAAAAATTTTACCACAACGTCGATCTTTGTTTTACAGCTTATATATATTCATGCAAGTATATTGGCATATTCCATTTTGAGGTAAATAATTCAGGTTGAATCTCATTATGAATTCATTACCCGTCAACCGTAATGGTCAAATTTATTATTCTATTGTTGCAAGTCAGCTATTGGTATGATGGGGAGGAATATAAGTCAAACAATTATGATTTGTATTCTCCATGTAGGAAAGCTTTCGGTATCTTTTCCGTCTTTTATTGACGGATAATCTCATTAGTGGTATAAATTAGACAGGAGACCTATAATTTGTTGTTGAGTGATCAAGCTAATGATAAACCTGAAACGGGGCACTTTTCATGTATCATCTTTATTTTCCGTCAAATAAATTCAACAAATTAAACAGGAACTGTAATTATGGTTCGCAGAGCTTATTACTTGTAATGAACTGCATTTTGTTATAGAAAATTTGGTATGCACTCGACGTATATAATATATCTTTAAAAACTGCTTCTTGTTCCTTACCAATTGACATTTTTGAAAGAAATCGAGGAACATACATCTTAAATTTTGATAACATACTTGTTGTCCTTCTCCATGAAATTGGAAAAGGTAATCTGTATAAATTATATTGCAATGAGTAGTTTCCATGCACACTTAGCATGGAGTCGCTAAACCAAAAGGTGTTGTGTAACGATGTAGTATTGGCACATGTACGGTCAGGCGCGTACGCAGGATTTTTTCAAGGGGGGGGGGTTTTAACATTTATAAATCGGTCCGAAAATTTCGCAACGACTCAGCCAGCCGCTGAATAAGCGGGGGGGGGGGGGGGGGGGGGTAAGAGGACACATTTTTTTTTTTTTTTGGGACCTCAAAAAAAAAATCCAAAAGGGGGGGGTTTTAGGTTTTTTTTAGGGGGGTTTACACACAAATAATTTCCAAAGGGGGGGTTTAACCCCCCAAACCCCCCCCCCCCCCTGCGTACGCGCCTGTGTACGGTCCAGACATCGCAATTTTACCTCATCGAAATGCTACAAGGATAGCAATAAAAAAGATATGAAGGAAAAAAAAACCTACTAAGGGATAAGGTATATTAGAGGACATGGAATAGTAGTATTAGTAGTAGTAGTAGTATAGTAGTATTAAAATGCTACATTCGAAGTAGCGTAGCAACAATTACCTACGGTGACAGTTCGGGATGGTAAAGGGGTAGATTTTGCATTCGATCTAGTGTGTCACGTTTCTAATATATTTTGTCTGAAGAAATGCTGCTGAAATACGTCATAACATACGCCGAGGGTTTATCGCCCTGTTTCCTTTTATCGGACGATAAATGGTTTAGAGTTCTGGACGAACGAATTGATCTATGTTTTTTTTTTTTTATAATTGCCTCATTGAAATATTTTTATTGTTTGATTAATTATTTCCATTGTTTTGTTATTGATATTTCGAACATATAATTAAAATGCTTTCGACAATATAAGTTGCATAAATTTGATTTTTATGTATGAATTATCTATGATTGAACGTTGTTTTACTTAATATTAAAGATACTGTTTTTATCTTAAACCTTTGAAAAGCAGATTAATTGTTAAACCATTTCTTAACATCATACCGACACTAAAATGATAATTTTGTAACTGTGCATGAATAGGGAGCGATTTTGTGAAAATATTATAAGCTGTCCAATGTATCATGCATTGCGTTTTTTCCAGTTGCCCTTGGACAATAATATTGTACAAAACTAAACAAAAAAATGACTCACGTTCTACAACGAATTTCAAATTTGACTGAAATCAATACTTTACCTTTTAAATATTGAGGGTTATAAAGTTAAACTTTCTCCCCATCTAGTGAACAAAATGACAAACATTATGTCGGTCTTATAAATAATATGTGCTGTTTAAAATGCTTCGAGTACATGACGTACATAAGGAAAACTGTCTGCGTTAAAAGATGTGGTCATACATCCACTATGTCTATACATATACTTTTGTCAGTTTTATCATCATGTAATTTCATCGTATGAAAATATTATACTGAGTAGTGGATACATTTGGGAGTTGAATTCCCCCAACAAAAATGGACGCTCAAAAAGGATGATCAACCTATACAGAGATTTCCATGTGAGGACAGAAACTAGTGACATTCAGATGAGAGAGTTGATTGTCCACTTTAAATAACTGTCTCGCGACTGTCATGGCTGCATTGTGATGGTTGTCAAGTCTCTCGGCTGGTGGTAATTAAGACGAGTGGTATGTCAGAAGTTCATCGAGGCTTTCAAAGGGGCTTATCTCCGGTATATAGACCATAATAGCTAGCACGTTTAGTATCTTCTAGCAGTCGAGTACAGTTCATGGCCCATTAGAACTTATATCAGCTGCTACTGTGTTTAATGTCGATATGTAGTTGGAAATGGAAATACTAATTTTTTATAACACTGTATATTGACAAAATATTCAAACCAATAATTCAGATGAATCTACATTGATTGTAATCGTTTTAAATGCCAATATACAAACGACTTTAATGGTCAATACTTGGAGCTTTAATTCAGGATTCAGGAATGGTCAACTAGGAAATACTGATATGAAATTTACATTACAAAATGAAGCAGTCGCCTTAAAACTGAAAGAGAAGAGAAAAGGAGGTTCGTGTTGAATTGCGCCAGGTATAATTATGTTTGGTACATAAAATGGTACGAAGTCGAGGCAAGGAGTTCTGGAATCTCCTTGGTCGAGGCCTTTTATGTTTCATTCGTGCATGCTTGAGGCAGTGATAGGTTTAATGGATCATAACATCACAAATCATCAGGATACATTTTGTTTACAACGCGATAGCGTGGTGATGGCAGGTAACTACTGTCGTATCTAAAATTGATGAACTGGGGGGGGGGGGGGGGAGATCCTCCACCGGCCGGGAGTGTGTCTCGACAGTTGCACGTGCCGCAGACCCATTGCAAGTTGCATTTTCATTCTGCTGGACTGTCAGCTATAAGGCGGGGGGGGGGGGGGCGTGTAGGAAGGTTTATGGACTGTTTCCAAAGTTGGATACTTCATTAACGTTGTAATTTCTGATTAAGGTGCTCCATCATACGTTTCGGTGGTAATCGCTCCGTGATTTTTCTTTTTTTTTTCGTCAAAGAAAATAATGGTTAGGGATGAAATGGGATGCTAGGTTGACTTTAGAATTAGATATTGGTATAGTATTTGGTCTAGGGATGAAGTTTCCAAATCGATTTGTGTAGGAAATGCGGAACAATCGTCATAGGAGCATGGCAATGATTATATCCCCAGGCCAGGAGGAGGGTGATAAAAGTTATAACGACCGTTGCCCATCGCTGTGGTATTAATTAGAAAACGAGGAGGCACGATGTGGGATCTTCTTCGACTGTGTAAACATTCACTACTCTCCAGCGTCAAAGAGTACATGATGTTAAGGTTATAAACGGGACGATTCGAGCACATTCCCCCTGATCGAAACTACTTCCCTATAATGATTTATGATTTCAGTCCTATCTTCAGAAGATGTAGAAACATTTTTATTTATCATCATTCTCATTTCTTTTAATAAGCGCAGGGGCTCATCCTGCCCCATAAAATCTTGAACAATTAAAGATAAATAAAGGTACGTGAAAAAAAATGTGTAATTACTGTGAAGAAGCATTCCATACCTTATAAAAACGAAGTGTCTTCCTTAAAATTTGAAAGACATGATTTTCGCCTCAATTTTCAATGTAGGTAGATGCATGACCTTTAAATCTTGCATTATTCAAGAGCAATATGATTTTTATGGCCGTCATCATGATTTCGATGTATATGGTATTATGTAATCATGATATTATAATAATTTAAACGCGGTATATTAGTCAATAAGAAAAAGAACACATCTTTAAATCTTAAGGATTTTTTTCAAACAGATGTGAACGGATTAATGTTGGCCTGTATTCATTAACATGAACTTCGAGTAACGAAAACGTAATGATATCAGTTTAAATTTGACCTTTTGATTAATGATAAATGTCTCAAAATGTATAAGCGGTGAAAGGTGAGTAAGTAAAAGCACGTTGGGAACCCTAGTAAATAGGGAAAGAGAGAAGATAGAAGGGAGAGGATAAAATATTAAATAAGGCGAAGTAGAGAGAGAGAGGAGGAGGATTAGGCGACCAAAAGGAAATTAAGATGTTTGCTAGAGAATAAGAGAGAGAGAAAGAAAGAAGGAGAGTGAGAGATAGATAGATAGATAAACAGACAGACAGATATATATATATAGCTGGATATATAAATAGATAGATAGATTTTGATATGATTTGATTTGATTCGATTTATTGGTTTCTGCATCTTTTTTCTTTTTTTCATCATACATTTTCATGAACACAATATGGCTTGATACAATATTTCAGATGGATGGTCAGATAGCTGCAAAGAGAGGGATAAAGAAAAAGAGAGAGAGAGAGAGAGAGAGAGAGAGAGAGAGAGGGGGGGGGGGAGGAGGGGCGGTTACGGAGAGAAAGAAGATCGAGAGGGAGAGCAAGGGCAAATGGACATACACATATGGAATAGCCTGAACGACGACGCCGACACACTACATTGTCGAGTCATGTACTAGTAATACACACCCGTCATCGCGACTGGTAGACAACTGACATTGCCTGTGGTGGTGTAAGGGGGGAATTCCCGGGATGCCTTAGATGTTTTTATCATTTACCCGGGAGCTTGCTGAAGTCAATCAGTATCGCTTCACACTCTCACTTCTATAATTTAATATCATCTATTGCTAAAGCGTAAAGTTTATTGCAAAGACACAATCCATACCATGGTAGCCCTTACTTAGATGTAAGTAGGTTTTATGTTTAGTATTAACAAAATATATATGCCGCAAATATATTTGGCCGGAATATTAATATAAAATTAGAAATAAACATTCCACGACAAGGGTACTATTAATATGGATTAAATTGAATTGTCATAAAAGTATGCGTGGGCGCGGAACCTCACACTTTTTTAGTGGACCTGTATATAACACAGGAGCATTTACTGTTCCTTCTCATGCTCACCCCACCTCCTTTCAAAAAACGCTACAGAGCTGAGTTGCTGATGCGATATAAAATATATTAAAGTATGACCCTTTTATTAAATCACTCAACGCCCTATTACCCCCCCCCCCCAACCCCACCCCCGCCGCCCACAGAAAAAGAAAACATTGTTGTTCTAATGCAGTTTGATCAACTAATAACGAGCTCAATTAATGTTCATACAATTGTCGCAGAGTGATAAGGAAAGCAAAATTCTTCGTCATCTGTTCAGGAGATGAGGTCTTGACGACAGATTCCACTTGCTACGAGCAGGTATTCGGCCCTCTCCAGTCTCATTCGATTCAGTTGATCTTAAAATGTTATGCCTCACTTACTAGTACGATATAAAATCTACTGCAAAGGTGACGTCGGGCTAGGATCACTGGACCAGTTGACCCCATTCTCAGTGATTAAACATGATGGAGAGGGTGGGGTATGTGGTCTCTCGTGGGTGCGCAATGGATGAGAAAGAGAGGGGAAAAACATTTATGTCTCAGTTACGTGTATAACGTCTTTATGCGGAGTTATTACATTTAACAAAAGTTTGGCACATTTATACAAAATAGTTTTTTATTTTTTTATTTATGAACATAGCCTACCAGGGGCGGACCCACGTAGCAATTTTTCCGGCCCGGCCCCCCACCCCCAAGCTCCCTAAAAAGGTTTTTAAAAAATAGGATAATAACGTAAAGTTAACCTTTATAAAACAAAACACAAAAGCGCCCCCCCCCTCCCCCTTATTCGCCGGCCGGCTGAGACGGCACTAAATTTTGTATTAAGATTTAGCTACCCCCCCCCCCCCCCCTTGACGCCGGCTGGATCCTCTGCAGGCGTGGATCCACGGGGGGAGGCTGACGGGTCAACAACAAAAAAAGAATAAAAACAAAACAAAAATCTCACGAATTAGGTCCAAAAAAAAAAAAAAATAGTGGTCTCACCCCCCCCCCGCTTATTCACCGGCTGACTGAGTCGGCGCAAAATATTTCCTGAAAAATTGGACCAAAAAAAGGGGTCTCCTACCCCCCCCCCCCCCCCCCCCCCCCCCCCCCCCCCCCCCCCCCCCCCCCCCCTCGCTTATACCATTGATTAAGCGGTTCCTTCTCGTTTACCAAAATAATAAATACTGATCACAATACGACATTGAATGATATGCTTCATTTGATATAGCGTTTTCATCATATTCGTTATTTTGATCCTTTAAAACATCTCACTGCTCTAGAATGAATCGATGGGTACTTTTAGGAGTACCCCCCCCCCCCCCCATCCCCCCATCTACCTTATTTACACCAAACGAAATGAAATGAATTGCTATTTTGTGTACTGATCTTCAACACTTGAAACTCATAACTTTCTCATTCTTCAAAGTTTTCAATTTTTTTCAATTACTTTATTTTCCTCCTCCTATTTTCAAATACTTCTATCAAGGTATACCTGATATTGTCGGAGGGACAATGGGAGGGGGTCATTTTGAAGTAGAGTACACCGTGCTTTTACATTAAATTTACGATGCTCCTCTGCCCCATGAATGCCCCATTATCTGCAAAGAAAGTATGAACAATTTCATGTTGGCGAATGGAGAGTTTATTTCAATGCATCGGCAAATATATTAAAAGATTAATCAGCAATTATAAACAAATGCAAACAGAATACATTCAACTGGGACATCTTTCCGACTATGTCTAGCATAGTAGGCCTATATGGAGTCATGTGAGAGTTGGTGGGAAGGAGTGAATGCACTACCCATGAACTGCCAAGGGAGCATTGTGTAAAACAAAATGTAAAGAAGGAAGGACGGAAAGAAATAAAGAAAGAAAAGGAAAAGAATCAACGAAAGAAAGAAAAAAGAAGAAGAAAAAAAAACGCTGTAGAAGAAGAAGGAGAAGCAGACATGAAGAACAGAAAACATTCGACAAAATTTGGATTTTAGACTTGGTGTTCTTCATGACAGTTTCATTCTCTTTTAATAATAATTACTACCTACAGATGGCGTACTTTCGAATATTTCCTGTGTCTGTTCGGCGATCTCACGCATAGTGTAACACGTCGCTTGTCTCTTTCCCGCTCTCTCTCTCTCTCTCTCTCTCTCTCTCTCTCTCTCTCTCTCTCTCTCTCTCTCTCTCTCTCTCTCTCTCTCTCTCATATTTCTCTCTCTCTTTTTCACTCCCACTCCCCCTTCCTCTACCCTCTGTACTGCGTCTTCACTTGAAAAATATCTATTATGTTACAGATGTGCTAATTATTTGATTGAAAAGACATAATAATAAAAACTGATTGTTCATATAATGCGTTTCGAATTGTATTTGTCGGAAGATGACCGTTTTTTGAGAACATTTCACTTGTAGTTCTTTTATCTGAATTAGATCAGGGATATGTGAGTTTAATGTCATACTCATAGTCTCCAAATTCTTGTTTTATATGTTACAATAATAATATGTTCTCCTCCTATCGTTTGAAAGAAGTTTAATCACCTTCCCACATCAGATCTATAGGAGAATTTCTTTTTAAAATACCGTATAAACATGTTTGGTGTGCAATGGTTCGCCCCCTCAATACGTTGTCCAAGCTTTACGTTCCGGCGCGCCTGTTTAGAAAATAAGTAAACGGGCACTTGGGCCAAAATAGTTACCCTCTTTTACCCATGAAATGTTATCCCTAAAAGATTACTTAGTCCGTCTATTCGTGCTGGAAAGTTTGGTAGCCTGACCACAATAATTGAAGGACCCATAGGAAGAACAACATTAAAAGCTCTCCTTTATATAGGTAAACAAAATCATTATTATCATTATTATTAATATTATTATTATTGATGTTATCATGACCACCATCATTATTGTAATTGTTATCTTTATCATTATCATCACTTTTATTATCATTAGTATTATTACCGTGAGTGGTTGCCAGGCGCCTACGCAGGGGGGGGGGGGGGGGGGGGGGGGGGGAGGGGGTTCGACCCCCCCCCCTCCTCAATTTTTTGGGGGTGTATTTTGGAGGAAACCCCCCTCCCTCATTGAAGCGAAAATATTAAGGGAGACACTTCGTTTTTATAATGCTTCTTTACAGTAATTACACTTTTTTTTTCATGTACATTATTTTTCTTTGATTGTTCAACATTTGTATGGGGCAGGATGAGCCCCTGCGCTTATTAAAATAAAAATGATAAAGATGATGATTTTTTTTTTTTTTAAATGGTGCTAATGGGTGACCAAAAAGGGGGACCTTATCCCCCCCCCCCCCCCCCAACGGTACGAACTACATCGATGGGCCAAATTTTCAAATTTTCGGGACAAAAAAAAATTTCATCCATTTATACAATAATATGGTTTTGTTTGTAATTAACTTTATTAGATAGAATTAACGAACACATTTGGAATACAAAATGACTTTTTTTGTTATATGTCGCTATTTTCTGGCTCTTTTTTTCTCTATCCCTTTTATTTTACACGCTACCGTATTTTTTTCTGACAAATAATTGACTGCCCGCTTCAACGTGTTTACATGTATTGGGGTTATTTCAGGGCCAATGTTTTACGAGAAGCATAAATACTGATTATTTAACACTTTTATGCTATAAATAGGACAATTCTTGGTTTGCTATGATCTTTTCCAGGTGACTAAGTCTATCTGCAGCAATTTCAAGTCTTCTTCATTTGTTCTACGTGAGATGGCAAGTGTAAATTCTGCAGAATTTGTAAGTACCGACCGGCGAATTTATTTTTAGCCCAGATTCCCCCATTCAATTGGCATTGCCTCCTGTATAATAACGTATGTGCGCGGTACATCTCTACAATCATAGTACATGCTCTGCTCATTCCTAGTGATACTCATAATGTTGATGCAGTCTAATGACTCACACAACCGTTTATCTAGGTATTGGTAGCCAGTAGGCGGTAGATCTGGCAAATTTATTTAATCAATGCTTTTAGTTTTACTAGTATCATAAGTATGATCAGGGTTACATGTTTGTGCAGTCAATATAAATTAAAAACAATAAATTTAGACATCATTAAGACATTATTCGTGAATACTTTTAGGTCTAGCGTGAACACGTAGAACTTTAGCGTACATTTAATTCTAAGTGCATGCGCACAAGGTTCATCCAATCTCGGCGAATTGCAGACACAGACTCGACGAGGAGCAAGCTTGCGATTTTCTGTTTCTATGATATTTCAGTCAAACCCTCCATTTGCTACGATTTTTCACCATCCTTAAATTTAAAATGTTAAAGGTATTTCACCTAAGTTTAAGTCTTACGAGTTACGTAACTATTTTTGAAGTTTGAACAATTCTCATTTTCGTCATATTTAAGGTAGTCTACAAACTGGAAATTTATTCTGAAATGTTTGTTGATCTTTCTATTTTATGGGTGAGCAATTTCATATGTGCGTCAGTTATGTGTGAAGTGCGTCACCTGTTTAAAGCATGACATGTCAAAATCTCTGTGGTTTGCATCCTACGTATTGACATTGCCATTGAACTTAAGTTGCGCTTAGGTTAAAATTAGGCCCTCTCTCATTTCATTTAGATTCGAAGCCACTTAAGCGGATCGGCCAATGAGAGCACATAAACTCACACATAAAAGTTCTTTGTGGGGAATACATAATTAATAATAGCCAGGAAGTCTTTCACATGTTTAACATTATGTTATCAGATCATTATCGAGTTCTTTCTACCCAATTCACTGAAAGCCTGTCCCACAGTGCAATTCAAAAATGACATCATCGCGTTATTTACCTCATTCCCCATACGTTGATACCAAGATCGTTCAAGTATCATTTACAAAAGCTTATCATTTTCCAAACAATTTGAACCTGTCAATTAGAGTTGTAGCAGCTGTAGCATATAAAAAATGCATTCTAAAACACTAACTTTGACTGATTTTGTATTATTTGTGAAATATTTAGGCATTAGGGGGTGGTGTTTGGAGGACCAAAGCACCGGTGCAGATTAAAAGTATTCAGCACTGAAACTCATGTCGGGCAGAATTTTCCTTGTTGCCAGCATTTTTTCTAAAATCCCCCTCGTTTGGTAATGATACCGAGTGTGTTTAATATAACAGAATACAACAATATTGAAATATGGCATCTTCAGGTACTTCTGCAAGATTTTGTTTTTAATATCTGATTGGCTCAGCACCATTTTAGGCCTATATTTACATGTACATGTACAGTGTAGTATTTAATAAGAAGAAATTGTAGAATATCATTGATGCCATTGAACTGAAATAAAAGACTGTTTAAAGTAATTGGGAATTTGGAAGATGATATCCACTTTTAAAGGTTCATGTACATGTACATGTACATGTACAACTGTATAACTGACTTTGAAGTTTGAGGGGTCAAGATTATTGAGGGTAGAAGTTGGTTGCTGAACATGCACCAATTACATTCATTTATTCATTCATCCATCCATTCATTCACTCATTGGTCTACATCAAACATTCAAACATGGAAAATATTAGTTTAAACATATTTGTGACTTACACCCAGTAAATAAGATCGATTGATCGATCTGTAATTGAAAAACAAGTCAGAAAAAATCTTGGAACCAGCGGGATTTGAACCTGCCATCTACTGCTTGCCGGGCAGCGACTGTACCACGAGGCCATCACTGGTACATGGCACAGTCGCGATGAACTACATATGTAGAAACAAATACCCAAAGCTCTTCTGATTCATTCTGACTTATTAATATTCATTAGTCCGCCATAGGGCAATAACTTTTATAAATGTAATGCTTCCTGGGAGAAATTTCAATAGTTTAAACATATTTGTGACTTACATCCAGTAAATAAGATCGATTGATCAATCTGTAATTGAAAAACAAGTCAGAAAAAATCTTGGAACAAGCAGGATTTGAACCTGCCATCTACTGCTTGCCAGGCAGCGACTCTACCACCAGGCCATCACTGGTCCATGGCACAGTCACGATGAACTACATGTAGAAACAAATACCCAAAGCTGTCCCGATTCATTCTGACTTATTAATATTCATTAGTCCGCCATAGGACAATAACTTTTATAAATGTAATGCTTCCTGGGAGAAATTTCAATAGTTTAAATATATTTGTGACTTACACCCAGTAAATAAGATCGATGATCGATCTGTAATTGAAAAAACAAGTGAGAAAAAATCTTGGAACCAGCGGGATTTGAACCTGCCATCTACTGCTTGCCGGGCAGCAACTCTACCACCAGGCCATCACTGGTCCATGGCACAGTCACGATGAATTACATGTAGAAACAATTACCCAAAGCTCTCCTGATTCATTCTGACTTATTAATATTCATTAGTCCGCCATAGGACAATAAATTTTATAAATGTAATGCTTCCTGGGAGAAATTTCAATAGTTTAAAGTACATATTTGTGACTTACACATACTTGTGAATTGCAGATCGATCAATCGATCTTATTTACTGGGTGTAAGTCACAAATATGTTTAAACTATTGAAATTTCTCCCAGGAAGCATTACATTTATGGAAAATGTTGTTGCTCACATTCATAGAAAGGCTCAAGTATTTACGTGTATTTGTATCATCGATACAGAAACATTAACCAATTGATGATATTATAATGTGATACATGAGATAAATATTAGTTTTGTTTTTAAAAGTCTTGGTTAATTATATGTTCTTTATTACAAGTTTCTCTTTCAATTTAATAAATAGATCAACTTTTATATGGGGAAAAGACATTCAATTTTTGTGTTGAATATGTTTAAATAATTAAAAGTCTTGAGAGGTAGTAACAAATTAGAGAAATAGTCTAATCCTCAGATATACTTAGAGTTGTTGCAGTTTTAAAAAAATAATTATATTCTTAGGTACTTCTTTGATAGAGACATCTTGAATAGCATTAATTTAAATACTAATTAGGCTAGTACTAATGACTATAAAAAAGAAGAATAGTTATAAGGCTTCTAAATTCTAACAATTTGTTAATTTTAGATAAGGAATATACATGGATATGCATGCATGAATTTAAAAACTCATCAGAATGACAGTTAATTAATATAATACTACTGAATTTTTCTGTACAAAGATAATACCTCCCATCAAAATTTATTTTCACATGTTAAAATTTGACATTTCACCTGTCACAAAGGCAAATTTTACAGTTTATCCATGTCAGAGATCGAAGTTTGAAGTTACGTTTAGTTCTTTTACTTCGTCCACCATTAAAAAAGAAGTTATTTACGATATGTACATGTTTATGTACATGTATTCAGTGTACATTTTAACAATAACATACTGTACTTGTACATGTAACACTCACTATATGTGATTTTTATTGAAATTAAAGTTATTGCAAAGTGCAAACATGGTTGCATGTACTGTTGTAGTTGACATCTTTGTGGAGTGCACAAAAAACTATTTAGATGTTCTGAGTATTACTCAGAACATCACATACCAATAGAAAAAGAGTAGACTTTCAAATATATGTCCTTCCAAATACATGAATTTTAACCTTTTGCATACTGTACGGGAACCGGAAGGTTCTTGTATTAAGTCTATGGGAATGAGAGAGTCAACCAGTTAAACTTTCAAATATATGTCCTTCCAAATACATGAATTTTAACCTTTTGCATACTGTACGGGAACCGGATGGTTCTTGTATTAAGTCTGTGGGAATGAGAGAGTCAACCAGTTAAGATGACATCCCAGGGTAATCCAAAGATTTCTTTGATCAAAGTTCAAGCTGTGATCTTTACTACTTCGCTGACAATTTTGAATTCATACATCTGTAATACAATAAAAGAATTTAACCACATGAAAGGTTTTGTGGTTTTTGTTGTGTAAACACTTTGTGCTCGGGACTGGGATTTCTTTTCATTGATATTATTCTCACGGTTTAAGATACAGTACTGTCAAATTACTGGGTCATAGGAAGAAAGGAGTCTACTTTGTACATGTACACCATTTAATGTGGATCAGAATAGATAACCAACATTCATATTGTTACACCGATAGGCAAGTGATAGAAATGTGAGCAATCAACCACAAACCACAACTGGGACAGTTTTAAGAGCACGAATCTCATATTCCGTCATAATAATACACTCTTACAACTTACAAGTCATGTATTCTGATCAATTTTGCAGAATATACATTTAGTTAAATTAGAACCGACAGCGAAATGAATTGGGAGCTCTTTTTTAAAAGATCCAGAAGAAATGGACTCTGAACAAAAGGAGCTTTCATTTGTTAGAAAAAGTAAAGTCATAGTGCAAATTTAAATGGTAATTATTCCATAATCCTAATCATCATCACATGCTGTACATTGACATGCCTGATGTCCATTCATGTACATGTATAATGTAGGTGTTATTGTTTTTTGTAAAGATATCTGAGCTTATTTCATTAATCCTCTTTGAATAAAGCAAGGGTGTGCCAAATGATAGTGGGGTAAACAAGTTGTTTGTTGAAAATGGAAATTGATGATGAAAACTAGACACAAATTTATGCAATACTTGTAGTTTTCATAAAGTAGTTGTGTACTTTGGTAAACAAGCCATACATGTAGGAAGCTCTGGAAAGTAAACTGTTCATATTCTTTAAAAGGGAAGTCATCCCTGTAGGTTGGTTTTCATAAAAAATAGAAATATGAAAGGAACAGATCAGGGAAAGTTTTAGTAAAATCCGATTAAAAGTAAGAAAGTTATGATTTTGTCGTGATCCATCAGAAGTCCATGGAATTTACAACGTAATTAATTCTGTTTTGTAAGAGATTAGTATTCGCAGAATGTGTCCTTGCCAGTATGTACTACACTTTTGATTGTCATCCCTTTGACGTCATCTTCAAGATACATGTACTTGTACGATTTGAACAGATGATAAACAAATTATTTTTTAAAGTGAATGTTGTATTCTGCTGACAACTTGAGCATTCAACAGCATGATGCGATGAAAACACACTGTCTCTCAAATGAAAATCAACTGGGAAAGTTCATGACACGGTTACGCTGCCCAATTAAGGAGTACATGTACATCATTCCAGTGATGATTACTGTAAGGATGATCTAATTGATTGATTGTTTCTTTTCTCGTCCTCTTGTGGATGTATACAGTCAGAGTGTAAGCCTATCATCCATTCACCGGTGAGTCGGTCATGCCACCAGGAGGCCATGTCCAAACACAAGAGCACGGACTCACAGCCCATCTCCAGCAGTGGGAACAGTGGTAGCAGTAGTAAGGCTAGTAACAACCAGTTTGCTAGCAGCCCTCGCTCCGCTACCAGCCCATCCCCTTCTCCTTCCTCGACTTCAATTTTGAAGAAGAAGAGAGCAGACTTTAGATTTGGAACCATCTTGGGGGAAGGATCGTATTCAGAGGTGAGTTATCATCAGGACTTCGCACACATACAACTTAACTACATGTACATATTGTTGAGGTTTAGAAGGGTTTTATTTTACTTAAATTATGATCAGAATCTCACTTCTTTATGTTTAAACCTCTTTTAATTTTCTTATAAGGAAATTTGAGTCATCAATACTGCAGTTTGTTTTTGTCTTTCTTCTTTTATTAATTTTTTTTTAAATTTTTTATAGAAGCTGCACTTTCCAAGATCTGCCATGATATATATAAAACATTTTTATTTTTAAATGTACACTTGCCTAGTAGTAGTAAAGAGATGAGAAAGTTAAATTTGATTTGATTTCCATTTGATGTATGTACATAAGCAAGGAAAAGGCCTCCCAAAATGCTACTACGGTAATTCTAAATACCTAATGACTTCAGCTACATGTATTATATGAATTTTAGTCAGAAAATTAGTCAGATGATAGGTTAGTCATCATAGATTTCACATGTTATTATGAAAAAACACATGTACATGTATGTGTGTAAAATTTTATTGATGTACACTGTAGTTGAGTGGTTTAAACACTTGACTTGAAATGCAAAGGTTGAGGGTTGTTCCCCGGCATGGCACTATTGTCCGTTTGCAAGGCATTAATTCTAAATTTGCCACTCCATACCCAGGAAAGGAATGGGCACACGGTAGGGTGGTGAAAGCCTTTTTGTTACATGTAGTACTTGCCATATACCCTCACTGTGACTTTATGGTAGGAATACTCCCCAGGGAGTGGAGATGGTGCACATTATGCATGAATTAATCTGATGGCCAGGGTAATACTATCTGTGCTATATGAATCAAGGTTATTATTATTTTTTTTAAATTATTTATCATATTTATTACCACAATAGTGGTTAACATGAAATAGTAATGTTGCTTTGTTTGTGATGTACACTGTACATTAATTTGTAGGTTTATCAAATATATACATGTATTTGTGATCATTTCCATCAAACTTTGACACAGTGTGTATTTTGATTATCATTAGAGATTAAAACTGCAGAAATGCAATTGAAAGGAATGACAAAAGAAGTTCAGAAAAGCAACCAGACTTTGGACAGCATTCTGTAATCGAGCTCATACATGTACATGTATGAAATATAATACTGAAAGACAAAATGTTATATTCATAGAAATGTATTCCTTATTTTAATACATGAGGTATGCCTCCTTTCCTTTGATGTTTCTTTTTTCCCCACAGGTTGTACTAGCTACAGAAATAGCAACTGGCAACCAATATGCAAGTAAGTAAATATGTGCTGGGTTGGTAGAGTGTTTACTTGTTTGCCTTTTTTGTCAATAATAACTTTCTTTGATATTCAGACAATAAAGAATGCTATAAATAGTAGGTATGGCATTCTGTATCTACTTCTAGAATAATACAAACTTTAAAAAAAAAAATTATTTGAAGATCGAAGTTCATTTTTCTAGAGTCAAAAAGTAGATACCAGTAGATGTACATGTACATGTACATTGTAAATGTAATTGTTCATTTTCTTTGTATTTGCTGTTTAAACCCAGTCAACCTTATGGAAAACTTGAACATATACAGTACAAACTTGTACACTATTGATATTGCTAGAAGAATGATTTATTCACTTTTTCATTGTTGTGCTTTTAGTTACTTGTTACGATCATGGCTTAATTGTTTGGGCAAACAATATCTAGCCATTGTGCACCTTGTGTACTTTTACACTTCATATTATTCTTTTTTTTCAGTCAAAGTACTTGAAAAGAGGCATATTATACGAGAGAAGAAGGAGAAGTATGTTCTAAGAGAGAAGGAAGTGCTGAGCAGACTAGATCATCCATTCTTTGTCAGACTCTACTTCACCTTCCAAGATAACTATAAGCTGTGTATCCTTTCTAAAATCACAATATCACAGGTGTAATAACTTCTGTGAAATGCTGGAAATATTTAAAAGTTGTGCAATGTGCATACCTTATTTATGTAACTCCTTTTATACATCAAGGAAAGTATTGTACATATACCACTGCAGAACATTAACATTTTGTAGGAAGAAGAACTACATTTACTAAGCCACTTCTTCCCCTTTTTCTTCTTTGGAAACAGGATTTTGCATTTTTTGTCTTGATCAAATCCTATGTTAATTTGCTGTTTAAATGGATATTCATTACTAATGTAGGTATTCATTACTTGGTATATCATTCATTTTAAGGTAAACAGCTACATATCAACCAATGTACTTATGAAAACTAAATGAAGTTATCTTTGATAAATTTGAATAAAATCTGATGTTAAGACAGAGAAATATTTCAGAATGATGTATAATTGTATTATTAAAGCAGATGTACACAGATAAAGTACACAGACTTGGGCTAAAAGTTGTGTTTGCAACTCAGTGTATTTCATCGGTCATTTCATCTTTATTTGCTGGTACGTGTATTTCCAGTTTATAGTTCTAGTGAATCAGTATTTATGATGAATATAAATTATAAGAATTTGTGTTAAACTCCATTGTCAACATAAATCTACATGTATATTTCTCCAAAACAAAGGCATCCCGCTGTTTAAGTACACAAGTTGTTTATGTTTTCATTTCCAGGTATATTATACCGGTAGTTCAGCAAGAAATAATACTGTGTGTACAGAATTGTGTGACTGTATAGGAAGAGTAAACACTAAACGAGATGACTTTGGTGGAATAGAATAGCCTGAGAGAGAATTATGAGGGTAGTTTACTCCTATTACATTCATGGGCGATAAACAATCACAGTTCATAGAAGAAGGGGAGGTGAAATTACTTTATTTTCCATAGTATTGATATATGATTGATATACATGTATATCACAAAGTTACGAGGGTTTGCAGAAAAAAGTGCATTCCCAAATGATCATGAATTGGTTCAGCATTTGAAATGTACCGGTACATGTGCAATATGCAGATGATGGAAAAGGTTGATTTTTTTGTTAAAAATTTGTCATACTTGTTGTGGCTAATACATCTTTGTGTAAAATAAATATATATATATATATATTGATAATGATATGCAATACAAGGCAGGTAATTTTGAAACTCACTGTAATAATATGATTGTCGGATGTCCCCTTCTAATCTTTGTACGAGTAATGTATCTACAAAATGTCAATGAGGAAATTACATTAAAACAAAAAAAAACATTGTTTCATTAAAAAGAATGTCTTATCATATTAATGTATTACAAAGCATCATCATGATTGTTATCATTGTTACTATTTTAAAAAAAAAACTGTCTTTTTATATTATTTGTATAGTTCTTAGCGTACCTTTTATTGAACCTTCTTTGATAAAAATCAGGGCATATGCCATCACTACTCCTCTGTAATGAATAGTAGTTGGGCTCTACCTTCAAACAAAATCTTAGAAATTTCCTGAATGTGTGATCTACAGACTTTGGTTTGAGTTTAGCCAAACGTGGGGAGCTCCTACCTTACATCAAGAAACTGGGTTCATTTGACGAGAGCTCATCAAGATTCTACACCTCAGAAATCATCTTAGCTCTGGAATACCTCCACAGCATGGGCATCATTCACAGGTAGGTCATCATCAATGCTTTGCTTTAGAAATGTGCCCACATGGAACTGTTTCTCTAGAGAAATTGTACTTTAGTCAAAAGAAATGCTGACTATACACTGCGACCAAGCTTATTTGGATACAATCATTTCACCAAAAAAAAAAAAATTTCTCACTTTTGTGATAAATGTGTATATGAATAATCTAAAGAAATCAAGAAAGAAATATCTGAAATTTTAGACAGTAATCACAATATTTGTATAATTAATCCATCTGAGGAATTTCAAAAGGAACAATTTTCAACAATGATTCAATAATTGTTGTATTATAAAGTGTACCAATCACCTAAAAAGTAATTTATGTACAGCTAGAACTTATGAAATCAACATCAGAAATCTTCATCTGGCATTTCCGATGGGCTGACAGATAATGAGTATGCAGAAAAAAAAATATAATATAATACTGCTCACAAATAAAACCGGGCTTACACTTCAGACTTTGGACAATTTGTGTATTCACGTACACATGAACATGTAGCATTTAAATATTATCTATTGATTTAAATGTGGCAGAGGACCCTATTTTATGGAAGCGCGTACATCGAATAGTCTCCTTACAAGTTGCCTATAATTAAGATTGTATTTGAACTTGCAAAATCTCTTTACAAGGTATTATCAGAAGCCCATATTTTGAATGTAGTATTACGACATGGAACCACCAGTACTAAATTAGAACACTTTAAAAGTTTTAGCGTGTATTTTAAGACAAAATCGGGTAAAGATGCCTTTGTGACAGACTTGTTACTGAACATGACGTAATGCCCCCCCCCCTGCCACATTTAAATTATTATAGATTATGTAAATACTATATACTATAAATGCTACGAAGTCTGAAAGTTCAAGGACATTCAAAACCATAGGGTGGCATGTTCATGTTCATCTACAGTGTACATGTAAATGTTGCACTGGGTTCTATAATGTGCACTTTAAAGCCACCATACTTAGTGCTGAGTGAATGCTGCATGTATTACTATGTGCTTGCTTCAGCCAGCAGGGTTGTAGGGGAGTGTCCTATATAGCTAGTGGGATGAATCATCCTGCATGGTGTTGATATTTAATCTAATTTCTGCTTTCCAGCAGGCATCAAGTGGTATTTTTAATCCTAATGCACCAATGTGACTAATAACAGCATATAGGATGCACATTGGTAACAAAGTGAAAAGAAATGACATGTACATGTACATGCATGTGTGTTCTCTTTTATTTCATATTGGGAAAATATATATTACGAAATAAAAGTAACAAATTTGTTTAAATTATAGAATTGCAGTATCATCATAATTTACATTACCTACAGGGTGTACATGTAATTACTACCTTCTTCTCATATTGTAAGGCTTGAATTTCTGGGACAATTGAGTCTTTATTAGTTTTACATGGATTTTCAACTGAAATTTGGAGAGAAATATAAATTTCTGTAGATGGTTGAAATATAGAACTTACATGTACAAGCGTTCAGAACACCCTGAAAAGAAGAAGATTTAATTGCAGTTGGAGTTTTATTGTTGATATTTTAGGATTTGTATGTGATTAGTATCTCATTGCATTTTGTTGGTGGAGATTTTAAAAAAATTGAATTGGTCGCATTCTGGACTAGGCTGATATGTGTATTCATGTACGTGCATATGCTGTAGGAGGGATTTAAATATCACAAAACACCTAAAAAAAAGAAGACATAATACATAAATAACTAACAAAATTAATAGAAAATGTACATTAAAAATAAACTCATAAAATGTTATAAAATGCAAGAGAAAAAGAAGGCTTCTTATTCACATGGGGTGAAAATATTTGTGTATAAATGGATATGCATTTACACGAGCCAGGCTGTCAGAAAAATACTGATCACCGTTTGTATTAATTTAAAAAAAGAAAAAAGGAAAGGAGTTAGATTTTAGAAGATGTGAAAGAGTTTGGAATGCAAAACAAGCTGTCAAATGGCAGGTAAACATGTATTTTTTGAGGTAGAGATACAATGAAAGTGAGCTGTGAAAAGAAATGAACAAGGTAAATATCTTGATAGCATAATATGTTTGTCTGCAGATTAATGATGCATGTACCGGTTACAAGTAATTATCACTAATGGCTGTAGTATGCAGGCTGTTACCTCAAGGCTTGAAGTGATTTCAGTCTCATTTAAGTGGTTTGTTTGTTGCACCAAAGTAGATATGACGTATATCTGAATCTCTCTCTGTTTTTCCCCTCTCCCCCTCTCTCTCTCTCTCTCTCTCTCTCTCTTTCTCTCTTTCTCTCACTCTCTCTCTCTCTCTTTGTCCCCCTCTCTCCCTCCATGCCCCTCCCTTCCTCTGTCTTCTTCCTTCTCTCTTTCGTCCTCTCCTCTTTCCCCCTCTCCTCTTTCCCCCCTTGACTGTATTTATGCTCATCTTCTTTTCACCCTGTCTGTATGTCACCTGTTTTTTTTTCCTCTTTTCTGTCTATGCTTGCATGCTATAGGTGCTCTCCTTATCTCATTATGGTTTATTATTTTATGATTCTGTATTTTTCTCTCCATCTCTGACTGCCTCGTCCATCTGTAAATTTCCTTCAAATGGCGTCTCTGATCCTTTTTATATCTTTCATTCCAGTATCATTCTCCCCAAAATTCAGTCATATTTTCTATCCTTCTATCCCTTTCTCATTCTTTTTTCCTTCCGTTATGCATTTGTAGGTATGTCCATCCACCCCCTTCTCATTCTTTCTCTGCCTTTCTCATCTTCCATCTATTCTCCCTTCATTCATTTGTGTCTTCACTCATTTCTGATTGTCCCTCTATCTCTCTTCCAGTTGTTATTCTTCTTTCTACTTGTAGCTGTTTTTCTCACTTCCTCCTTTCCAATGTTATCCCAACTTCCTTTCTCATCGATTTATTTTTCCCTCGGTCCATTTCCCACTCCCATCCTGCTTTTTCTCTCTCCCACTGGCTCATTCTCCCTTCACACTATTACTGTTACATTTGTCTGCCAGTCTCTCCCTCCCCCTCTCTCTCTCTCTCTCTCCTCCAGTTTTCACTACTTCCTTCCCCTTTTCCACCTTTATCTCATTGTGTACAGCTGCGATTTATGTTTACAATATCAACATTTCCCCATCCATTCCGTGTTTTGTTATGGTTGACTTGATAACTTATTACAATGCGGTATATTTCTAACTTCCATACTTCCTCTTTTTAGTTTTCCTTGTGTCTCATGTTTCAATTCAATGTTTTTATTCACCCCCCCCCCCCCCATCCCTCTCCCGTTTCTCTCATGCATATCCTGGTTATTTTTTCACCTCTTTGTTTACCTTCCTCTTTAAATACAATCTTTGGAATCTACATGTATCATCATCATCCTGTTTCAATCAGCATTTTTCTAATTATAAAGCAATTATCATCTGTCCATCATCTTGTCAAGATTTCTGTTTATTGTGAATATTTCTTTTTTTAGAGACATGTCTTTCAGTATCTATCCCTCTATTTGCTTTTCCGTAATTTCCTTTTTACTTTTTCAAATCCTTTTTTTTTCCTGTGTATCCTTTTCATATAGAATTGGTTGTCTCATTCCTTTCTCATAGTTTATATCTTTATTAGTGTTTTTCTCTCTTCCTTATTTTGTTCCCCCTCTCCCCTTTCTTATCAATCATCTCTTCACCTGCTGAATTTAACCCCCCCCCCCCCCCATTCTCCTTATTTTCACCTTGGTTTCTTCTAATTTACACAAATTCTAAGTACAGAAATATATACAATCTCTTGTGAACCTATGGATCTTTTCTCCCTCTTTAAATCTATATCTGTTCAGTAATTAGTGCCTTTTGTTTGTTCTCACCCGCAGAGATTTGAAACCAGAAAACATTCTCCTCAACGAAAAGATGCACATACAAATCACAGACTTTGGAACAGCCAAGATTATAGGTGCAGATGATAAAAAGGAAGGACAGCGTGAGTGATTTCACTTTCTATTCTTGGAATAAATAGACATTTACCTGTAAACAAAGTAATCAACTATTATTGAGAAAATAAACAAAGTAATAAACTGTTCTTGAGAGAAATCATCTTAGAATGATATAAGATGCAATTAATTTTTGTCTCTAGAAAAACAATAGAAAGAGAAATACCTGAAATATGTTTAATATAGAATGCACAAAAAAAAATTAATTGATTAGGGAAAGAGTACTTAAATTACACGTATTGCTGCTGTGATGTTCTAATGATATAAATATTTATACATGTATGTATGTTTTTTTGTATAGAAAGTATTCAGATGTTACAAACATAGACTGTTTTCCTTTTTTTGTGGGAGTCAGCAAACAGAAAAAAGATGTACCTATAGCCTTTCACATGAGTGCAATATGAGATTGTTGGATTGTAATTACATATATACATATACATGTACATGTACGGCAGAAGATAGCAAGCAAGGAAAAGGTAGTAGGTCAATGAACTTTTTGAACAAAAAACATCCTGTTGATAGAATAAGTTGTTTACATGATTGTTTTGACCATTTCTTCTTCGGGGGTGTATTTTCTGTTGATTGATTTTACTTTTCTGTTTTTCTTCCAAAGTTTGTTGAATCAATCATGATTGAACTTTCAGCTGCAATAATGTAGTTATAATTTCCTTTTACAGCTCGTGCAAAATCATTTGTTGGTACTGCGCAATACGTCTCCCCAGAGCTTCTCACTGAAAAATCTGCAACAAAAAGGTAATTTAAAATTTTAAAAAATTAAAAAAATTAAACAAACTCATGATATTATTAAAAACTATATTTTTTAACAATACCATCAATCTTGTCAACTATTCTCAGGTGCGAAGAGATAAAAAATAAATGAACTTGAAGTATATCAGAGAGAGAAAGAGAGAAAGAAAGAAACAAACAAAAATTATTTAATATATACATACACCTGTATATAACCCATTCAATATGATGAGTTACTTTTGTATCTATTATTGACACATATTATTTATTGGTTTTTAAAAGTTAAGCATCAACTTTGTTCAGACTATCATCAATCTTATTCATGATTGATTGATTGATTTTAACCGCATTGTGACTCTGTTTGTCTCCCTCTAACAGTTCGGACCTCTGGGCTCTTGGATGCATAGTTTATCAATTACAAGCAGGTCTACCTCCATTTAGAGCAAGGTAAGACTTTCCTCTTTTAAACTTGAGTTGTTTGAACGATAGCTCGATCATGGTATCATCCGTTGAGAGCCAGAAGGGCATTAATGATATTAATAATAATAATGATAATCCGTTCTTGTAAAGCGCATTTATAAGACATTATGATATAACGTCCCTATGCGCTTCCAAAGAGCTTTTGAAATCATTGCACTAGCTTCAGCTCCGGCAGCCGTTATCAGCGCACAGTGCATTTCAAGGAATAATCCTACCAGGTACCCACTGACCTCACCTGGGTGGAGTGCGGCAAATATAGATTAAGGTCTTGCCAAAAACATCAGTGTTGTGGCTGGGATTCGAACCCTGTACCTTGTGGTTCACAGTCCGGAGACTTATCCACTGGACCACAACGCCTCTACTTTAATACTCTACTCTCCATTAGGGCAGTATCATTTCATAGACTTAGCACCCTTCAGGCTCTTTAAAGAAGACATGTGCTTCCTAACACTAGTCATTACACTTTGGCAATGTGCCAACTGCCAAGAATTGTTTTCAATGAAGTTTTGTACAAGGACTACACAATACATAATAGTCCTGTATGACATTTCATGTGAAAAGTATCGCTTTCCATGTGATTAATTCATCAAAAGAAATCAAGGTCATATTTTCAAATGGTTTTGTGTTACTTTGATAATTTTCTGAAAGTGAATTTTGACATGTATATAGTCTTATGATTCTGCAGCACTGGTAAAAGTTGTTCCTATTTTTATTCAAGATTTTCTCATCATTGTTTACACATGGTGCATCATTGATGTAAAAGCAAGCGGGGGGGGGGGGGGGGGGGGGGAAGGGAAATTTTATTCACACATGAACTTCTGTTTATGTCTAAAACTTGTGTAGGCCTCCATTGATTTGAGTAGTCTATGGTAGAGTGCTGTACATGGTACGCCTACAACATGAGGCAGTCTGATGTTTTAACTCCTCATTTACCAATTCTATCTTCAGAATCAGAATCATATTTCAACTCATTGAAATTCTCTACATTGTAGTTCCTCCATCTTACATGTATAAGCCGTCATTCCCCTGGTTGCTAATTTACAAGCAGTCGGGTAAAACAAACAAACAAACAAAACAACATATTCATGTGAATTTGTGTTATTTTTACATTGGAATGATGTGCTCCCCCACTCCCAGAAAGAAAAAAGAAAGACAAATGAACAAAGCCAGTTATATATAAGTTAGTTTACTTTCCCATATTATTAGTGTTCTGTAAATATCTTGTTTGTGTCTAGTTCAATATCAAATATCTTTCCTGGAAACCAGTTCCATGCATAGAAGATAAAGAAAAAACAAAACAGGAAATGGTAGTGGGTTGGGTTAAGGACGAAAGAAAGAAAAGTGCTGGTATTGCTATTGTCGTCCTTCCCATTGCTCAACATCAGTGAAACAGTGCTCTACAGTAGTAAAAAGGTTAGAGTGTACCAATAACTTTAAGGTTTTGTTTAACTATGTTTTTACGTTTCTGGAAACAGAAACATTACCTTTCTATTCCGGATGCTTTTACTGCCATGGTTATTGAAACTTGCATTTTTATACTGTAATGAATATATTCTTAGTGATGATTGTGAAGATAATGTTACCACAAGATTGAGTTTATAAGTATCTTACCACACTGCTGCTAATATTTTGGTAATTATAACATTCTTTTTTGATATAATTGATTGAACTGGATGGATAACTGATTTATTTAAAAAAATATTTTTTAAACTTGATCAGAAAAGTGAAAGTGTGTTTGTTTGTTTAGTTGTTACTTGTTTCCTGCATACAAGATGTTTGTTAGATTCTCCCACCCTTTGGCTAAAAATGTTCTCATCAATTAGTTATGAATATAGAAAATCAACCCCAAACAAAGTCCTTTTTTTTCTATAATCCCCATATACAAGTAAGGATTCCCTTTATAGTTGCCTGCGTTCTTGCAACCTCATTGCTTTGATGGCAATATACAAAATCTATCAACATGTTTACAAATCTAACTCATTTGTGTACATGATTGAATGGATTCATTGGAAATTGAAAACATGTTATTGCATTTTTAGATCATTTGGCATTGATTGAGATAATGATGACGAATGGAATTTGAATATGCACATCTGATGAATAATAATCTTTCAAGTCGTTTCCTTGTGAATAAAGGTTAATACATCACGTGCCTATTAAAGGCCAATAGAATAGGTAATTGTGCCACAAATACATATGCAGTGGCCTTGAATTAGAATTTGTTGTACCTTGGCCTAATTATCATATTGATTCATATGACAAAATAAGATTAATAGAATAATATTTATTTCTTTGGTCATGTCAGAGAGGTATGCTTCTTGTGCATTTGGTATTTTTTTGTTTCCCCCAATTATGTGCCAACTGAAAGCTTAAAAGCCATAGATTACAATAATAGCCATTATATGCTAATGTTGTGTCTTTTAGAGGAGTAACAGCTTGCTGAAAACTCTAAATCTAAAGCTTTGAAAAATTAGAAATTTTCGACCTAAAATGACATCATCTTATGGGGAGTAGGTAAATTCATAATGACTTTGCATTAATTAAGCAGGGCTTATCACTTCAGGTACATGTACATGTACAATGTATATGGGCCAGCCGAGCGGGTCCTCTGTTATGTTGTCACCGTTACTGCGGCAATTTTGACCCCTGTTGATCCGAAATTTGGAGAGGTGCGGAAATTGAGGTTTCAATTTGCTTTTGTGCGGTATTGAAGGGATAATATATATTTGTATTCTAACTTCATTCAGCTTTCCGTTGATATAAAGTTGTATATTCATGGGATAGGGTCTTTAAGATTACAATTTGATATGACCATGATCATGTTGATTTCAATGTTATTATCACTTTGTTTATTGTTTTATAACTATAGGTCTAACTGAATATCCTTCAATTTTATTTACTTTTCTCAACAGCAATGAGTACATGATATTCCAGAAGATTATTAAGTTAGAGTATGACTTTCCAGATGGCTTCTCACAAACAGCCCGGGACTTGGTCTCAAAACTTCTTGTAAGTACTTTATTCTTTTCCATAGGAATTTCATTGACACCAAGTAAGAGAATTATTGAGACATAGTGAAATGAAGATACAGCAGGAAGGCTAGGCTCAAATGTGTTATTCTCTTAAAGTTCCTCTGCACTAGTTTGGCCAGGAGGGATTAGACCTCCCTCCATGGTCACTTACAGGTGGCTGTCTCATCAAATCAGCTCTCTATTAACATTAGAAAAAGCGGACCATGGGGGACCAATAGTCGCCGATTAGGCATTGTTTGCTATATAGAGGGCGCAAGTAGCTTTAAGTAGTGCAGTGGGGCTTTAACTGACAAACTGTACCATGCATGCCTCAAGCCTGTACAATACATACTCTATATGCATACATGTACGGAATTCACATTTGCCAATTGGCTGCCAAGAGACATGGTTCTTTTCATTGACATTCTAGTAGGAGGTCTAGAGTTTGGATTCTTGCATGGTGTGTATACATGTCTTCAGAAAATAACTTGAATGTTGTGAGGATTAGATTTGTAGCCACCTTAAATGAAAATGATGGAGCACCTTGAGTGCTGGCTCAAAGGATATATTACGTTGCCATTATTGTTATGATTTATATGTACCACTAGAGTGCACAAAATATGTGTAGATAATTTATAGAACAGTAGTGAATATTTTTCCTTGTACTTCAATTCTTCTGTTTTTATGACAATGATAGATTGAGAATAGGTAAGTTATTCAAAGTCTACACATCATGGAATCCCTAGCATTTCAGAGACAATAAAATGTATTGAGAAAAAAAGTAGGATACACATTTTATAGCATTAACTGGTATTCATGATTGCTTTGCTTTTGTAGGTGATTGATCCAAGCAAGCGATTAGGTTGTGATGAGTGTGGCGGATACCCTGCATTAAAGGCACATCCATTCTTAGAAGGTGTTGACTGGGAGAATCTTCATGAGCAGAAGGCACCTGTACTCAAGCCATGCACGGTGGTGGATGGGGAAGAGATCCACAGCGAATACTACGTGAGTATCATGATCATAGCAAGGCCATCCTTGAAGGAAGCACATCTAGAGCTGATTATATTAAATGAGAGACTCGAACCGCGAACCCTGTGATCCACAGTCCGGTGACATATCCACTAGACCTCAGTGTGTATTCCTTTTAAGCCTCGTCTTGCTTGCCTCTTACCTATACATCGTGGTTCTTGCATTTAAAACAAATTAGATGGACATTTTAAAGAAATATATAGATATTTAGGCTCACTCTCTGACTGGTTAAAAGAACATTCTGTGACTGAATAAAATAACATTTTCTTTTTGAATACCGGTATATTGAAGGATTATGACATCCTAGCACAACCCATGTGATTAATTTTGTCCATGGCTTTTAGCGAATGCATATGTCTTGCCAATCAACAGTTGTTTTTTACCTATCTGGGAACCGGCTATCCAGTGTAAGCATGCATGTGCATGTTACCATGAAGGCTAAAGACAATGGTTAATTGGTGATATGCATTTCTTTGTTACAAAGCGTCAGGAAAGATGCATCACAGAATTTTCTGAAGTGACTTGTAAAGGAATCACTTAAGGATAATAATCAGTGTCAACTGTTTTTATCCTGTGTGTCATGTGCAATCCTTTCAGGGCGACACATTTATGTACATGTACATGCACATTTTTATCTACAGTAAATTTTGTTTAGATTGCATTGAATGATATTCAAGTAATGTAATTTATTTGTATATTATTAATGAAGTACATGACCTTGTGTTAATATTGACGATATGATTTGTGAAATGCCCATCCGGACAGTGTAAATTTAGGGCCAATGATTTCCGGATTTCGGTATACCCATGGCACCTGGGCCCTGTTTCATTAAAACTTATCATCGATAACAATTAACAATAACTGTTAAAAGCTTCTGAAATCATGGCATTTGATTGGCTGAGAGAAAATTTAGCATTTGTGGAACAGGTTTTATGAAACAGGGTCATGGTGTTGTAAAAATATATATCAAAATTCTCCTTCCCCATCTTCCTTCCATTCTTAGGTGGACGACTTTGACTTGGAGTTGAACCCCACCAGCTTGAGTGAGTACCTGAAGAGGATCGAGACGCACGACCGCCCCCACAGCCCTACCAGGGATAACAAGTATGTGGTGGATCTCACCCCCGCAGAGCGCAAGCAGAGATTGGAGAGGCAGGGGAAGGAGAATAAATGGCATCGGTTTGTGGAAGGCAATCTCATACTCAAGAATGGATGGGTGGACAAGAGGAAGGTAGGTTTGTCGCCGGTTCTGGGGGGCATTTCACAAAACCTGTCATTAGTGACAAATGACAGTTTTTGTTTTATAAGCCACTGAAATCCTTACTTCTGATTGGTTATCAACAGATTTGTCACTGATTTTTGTCATTTGTCATTGAAAAAAGGCTTTGTGAAACAGGTCCCTGTTCTACATGTATATAACCCCATTCTTGGTGGGTGGTGGAGTGACTGATTTTGTGGCACACTATTTGTAGGATATGTTTGCAATGAACATGCCATTTGATGACTTTAGGAACATTTCTTGGAGTTTTTATTTGACTATGTGGAACAGAAATAGACCACTTAAAAGATAGCACATGTACATGTACAAATGACCCCCACAGATTTTTTAATCATGGAGATGACCTCATTTTTGCATTTTTAGAGTGAGCACTGTCAAAGTGATGGAGGTGCTTCAAGAATACCTCCTTTTTACCCTCTTGAAAATCCTTGCAGAAATGTGTCTTAAATGAAATCCTCTCACATTATGATACAGTTTAAGTGAAATTTTTGGGGCTCCCAACACTTATAGAAGGGCTTTAATTTAACCAATATCATCCTGGCAGACTCATCTTTAAAACTTATAATCCATGGTTAACTCACATGCATTCTTAGCTGTTTTTCCCTCATCTACATTTATTTTGTTTGTTGTAATTTTGATATCCTCATAATTAAAAACAAACAAGATGGCACATTACATTCCTTTACATGATCACTATGAATTGCCTTGGATACATCACTTCTCAAATCCCACATTTTGATTCCCTTCATCCTACAGGGTCTGTTTGCCAGGAGGAGAATGTTACTACTAACGGAAGGCCCACACTTGTATTATGTAGATCCTGAAAACATGGTTCTCAAGGGAGAGATACCATGGTGAGTGGCATTCAGTTTCTCATAATATAAATGATACAAATGCTTTTTTGGTTATGATAATAGGTCTATTTATTTAGCGCAGCCGCTGTATGAATATACTCAACTGCGCTGAATACAAAGTTATATTATTACCCCGGTTGTAGCTGAGCTGCCATGATAAGAAGCTAGAGTATTCAAGGAATTTCTTCCTACGGGGTAACCATTTACTTCACCTGGGTGGAGAGTGGCAGATGTAGATTAATGTCTTGCCAAAGGACATTAGTGCTGCGGTGGGACTGAGATCCACAATCGGGTGACATATCCACTAGACCACATCACCTCTATGTGTATTCATTTAAAGCCTGTTCTTGCGTGCCTCTTGCCTATACATCAACTATACTTGAGTTTACTGTTCATGATGTTTTATATTTTTCATTTTTTAAAGGTAATGGGAAATTTAAAAAAAGGTCTACCGTAAGAGGGGTCAAGATATAAGATCAACATGTAGCGATGAGTTTAAAATGGGGAAAATTGCTTCTACTCATTCTCCTTTTTATTTATTACACATCTTTAAAAAGAAGGGTAGCCCAATCAACAAAACAATACTGGTTTTCGTTGAGGCCCTTCATGACACAAACAAGTATATACATTTTATCAACACATCAAAATACAAATAAATATAGAAAATTACAAAATACGATTTTAACAAACAGAAAATTGCAAGCCAGGTTATAAATAAGGATTTGAACATTGAGAATAACGAAATGTGTAAAATATATATGATACAAATATCCTTTTTTTAAATCTTTATAGTTTTTGCTAATTCAAATGTTGATTTTGTTTAAGTAATGGGCAAATATTTTCTTGTTTTTTCCCCTATAATTTTAGGTCACCGCAACTGAAAGTAGAAGCCAAGAATTTCAAGACATATTTTGTGCATACAGTAAGTATGATACATGTTCATTGATACAGTCTTCGTCATATGCTGTAAATCGTAAAGTCTTGTCACAATCTTGTCAAATTATTTCTTTTCATGTGAAGAAGTGAGTAAGAATCAATTCCTAAAAACATGTATCGCAAACATGGTTCATCAATCTGTATGCCTTGATTTTTTAAGAACTGTGTTGGGGAAAGCTTCATTTAAGTTTTTTTTAAATTTTTTTTTTTATGTTGTATATGTAAGTGAAAAGAACAGTGGTTTTAAATAAAGTAAAACAGAAATATAACATGTTCTGTTACCTCTACCTTTTCTCTTTATCAGCCAAATCGGACATACTACCTTATTGACCCAGAGAGTGATGCGGTTGAATGGTGTCAAGCAATCAAGGAGATGTACAGACATACATACCAAAAGTCTATTTAATCTATCACCATATCCTGACTACCTGCCCTGTACTATGGGTCAGTGGTGGATTCCCTTCGCTTTGTCCGAGTCCATCGATCGATTCATGTGATGATTGCAATTGTATGTATACTTCTTATCATAAAAATGTTATTTATGAGGTGACCTGACCAGGACGTTTTCAGGCAGTCAAGTTTGTTGGTGAGAGATTGGGCGTGGTGGTGTCATCGTACATGTAGATCCATCAGCCTGTTGAAGATGTACAGATTAGAAGGTTAGGTTGAGGATTTGTTTCCAGATTCCGGGTACATTTACCTCACAGATGGAGACTGGTAGCTGGAATAGGGCGTGGCATCAGATACAGATGAGGACAAGACATCACGTTCACCGCTTGAAATATCCATACCCATGATATCATATACATGAATATGTTTTACAGCTGCTTAAAATACGATGAGAACACTTTTCGTATCATTCAAATAGTGATAAATTTGATGTGTAGTACATTTAGCCACAATGTTTTCCCATTTCGACCATCTGGGGTTACCAATATGAGCTCCTCTTGGAATGTTCTTATTGTAACTCATGACAGGGAACTCACACGTTGGATCTCCATGCCATACAAAGCTACCAGGTGTTGCTGCTAGACTGTTTGGACTCTGTCTCCCCCATAGAAGAACAAAGCATTGCTTACTTGCCCAATAGGGGAAGGGGGGGGGCACCATGTACCGTATTTGCAACATCGATGAACTAAAGTATATAGTTGACTTATTTGAAAACGTTCTGAAGAATACTATGGTCTTATTAAATGCTCTTTATTATGAGTCTCTGTGTGCATATCATGGACCCGTTCCATTCCTAGAAAGCTTTATTTCCAACAATTGTCTTGATGAATATCTTTGTGCCATGACGGACGCAGAAGGATGTGACTAGGACAAGGGTTGGAATGCTTGAATTGGTTGTGTCATGCTAACATCAAATCTCTAAAATAAATTAAAATATTGAAGTTTCCCCTTCTGATTAATGGGCACTTTGTTGTGCAAAACATGACCGCTGTATGACACAACTTATTTGAAATATGATATTCAATTGAGAGTGAAGCTATATCTTCATTTCCTTGTGAATAAACTGGATATTGATCTGATATTGTGTGTTTTCCTAGTAATAGGAATATAGAATTAGATATTTTATGTTTTCTTCTTCTTCTGAAAATTTCTATTCATTTCTGTTAGTGTATTTAAAGATCTAGTCAAGGCGTTGACTAGAGCGATATAGACACATGGACATAAGTCTCTGTATAGCTCCGAATGTAAATATGTCAATGGAGAGATATAGTATGTATGCAATAATGTATTGTACAGTAAATGGATGGACGGAGTGTATATTCTATCCTTTTATCTCTAGAAATGTGTCCATGTGTGAATCAACCATTTCACTGCTACCTTCATGCCCAGCCCCTGTGTATCATAGTCAATATCAGATTTTTATGTTGCATATCGATACTATATCCACACATTTACACATCCACATCCATCTTTGTTCCTTCATTCAAAATATTACGGTTTCCTTCCATTTATATTTGTCATCTCATGTGCATTTTTAATCGACTGTGAAATTATATATTTGTACATACTCATAGCATAATGTGGGTTTACATCAAATATATTTTGTGAGCGATGTTTAGGTCTTGTATGTGCTAGTACCTACAACAGAAGCTATTTCAATTTAGTGTTAAACTCATTTTAGACTTAGTCCTATTATAATTGTCATGATGATTATTCTATTCCAACCTTTCTTTCCCAGCTGATGAACACTGTACAAAACAGATTTTAGAGGTGTGGGCACGATAAAATATCTTTGTACTTAAACAAATATCTATAGAAATTACCAAAGTGTTAACTATACAGTGTAGGAGTTTACGTCATACTGTGTTTAGGATTTGGCTTTTTCTGATAGCATTTCTCATCGAGGTTCAATGTTTTTGCATAAATTCAACACCACTATCTTCTTAATCATATTACATGTATGTAAGGAATGTTTAAATAAATAGTATAGCTTATGCAGACATAAGGGAAGATATAATATGATGTGATTGAATTGTGAGTGAGCTGTTGATTTGAGGAAGATGTAACAAATAACATACACATTACTGATATGAAAACGTACAAGCAGAAACTGAAACTTTGATAATGAACTTCAAGTGAAAGGTATTTCAATGGAAGAGAAAACTTTTCCCAAATTGCTTTGCATGTGGTTGAAATAATATCCAATTTGAATGGATCTGATAGTTTATTTGGCAACAACCTACCATTTGTGACATTTTCACTTTCTTTTGCATCTCTAGATCCATTATATTTGAATTACAGGTCTGATTTTAATCCAGTGAAAAATAGTTGTTTTTTCATGTTTGCAGAAGAAAAACAATCCAAATGAAATGTGTATAAATATCTTAATATTACAATAATAGTGATCATTTTATATTACATGAAATCCATAATACATATATGAGTGTGTGTACATGTATATGTGTTTGGGGGATTATAAGTATCTGTGTTGACTGAGTCTTTTTTTCTTCTATTAAAACCCTTTGCTTCCTATATGTAAATGTGTTAAGAGCCAGCTATTTAGGTTATAAATGTGACAAATTATTATCTTTTGTAGTACAAGTTACACAAGGAGTACTGAATGAAATATTACATATTGTAATTAATTATTGATGCGCTCTTTCTGATTCAGAGTTACATTGTATCTGGTAATGTAGTTACATGTATGATGTTGGTTGAGAGCCTAAAATGCATTTATACTGTTATAGTTATATAAGTCGACGGCCTTCTGGGCCCTGTTTCATAAAACTTGTTTTCAATAACAAATTCTAAATTTCTATGACAAATATGCTCTCAGCCAATCAAATGCCACTATTTCCTGAGCTTATAACAATACTGGAGTGTTGGCTCAGTCAGTAGAGCGTCCGCCTCACAACCGGGAGTTCGTGGGTTCGAAACCCCGGCCGCATCATACCAAAAGACGTAAAAAGATGGGAGTTGTTGCTACCTTGTTTGGCGTTCAACAATAAGGGGATAGAGCAACGTCGATCTGGCGCTGCTCAGTGGCTGCCGGGCTCACGATCAGTTGGGCAAAAAGAAATTCCATTTCGGTTTAATAAAATTTGGAGTGGACTATTGGGCTATTATTATTATTATTAGTAGTAGTATTATTATCATTATTATTGTAACTTGTTATTGATAACAAGTTTATGAAACAGGGCCTGGTTCTCAACAATGTATTGGATCCCTATTTGTTTTTATCATTCAGTACATAATGAAGGCAGGTGGTGAAATACTTGAACAATATTATGGTCATATTCCTTAGTTTGACTAACTTAGGATGAATTTACTATTCAGATGTATGAAGTGGTGGATTGAAATAGGATCGTTAGGATATTCATGATTTAACATGAGAGAAAGAGAAAATTATGCTCTAAAACTGAGCTAAATTGTCAACAGCAGTAGTGATTATTTCAGATTTTTTTCTTCCCAATTAAGAGTTGCTCAAAGGTCTGTAGATTTGTTATAAAGCAATTATGCTCTCTATCTGGAAAATAAATGAGGCAATGAGGTTTATACTTAATTCCAGGAATTCTTGTATCCCCATTACCTTCAATACTATGAAACATTTATTGAGGAAGATTGCCATAAAGTCTGATGCTGACACCGAGATTGAATAGTTTGTATGTCCAACTGTGTAATGTATTATAACTTTGGAGAAAAAAAAACACAAGCTAAAATAAATGATCTATATTTCAACTAAAAAACCTCCTACCAAATACAAGAGCAAAATTGATTATGTTTTGGTACATTATTGGATAAATTACTGTTGTTTCTTGCATATGCTGGGCATCTTTTGCATGTTCCCCCATTGACTACTAAATTCCTCTGGGGCACTTTCATATTAAAGGAATGATAGAAAAACACAATTTATCAACATTTATATTTCAGAAATATGAAATTAGTGAAACAAAAATGTTTGATCATGACTAATGGCCATTTAAACAAGTGTAAATGACAGATTTATTCTCTTAGCTGCCATATTTTTACCCTTACAAGTATTATTATCTGCAGTCACGGTCATTCCATGAAGATTCTTTGCATGTTTCTGTTGTTCCTGCTATTCCTTAGGAGAAGTACCTTGATTAACTTCTAAAATAAGTTTTATTTTGAATATCATATGAACATATAACTCAGAATTTGCACTGTGTATCTAAAAAATATCTAAAATATTGTACTGCCAAAATTGATATCCTGTCACTTGCACTTTGTTTAAGTAAGGGCATGCATGCCATAAATCCTGCTAGTTACTTCCTATTTTAATTGCTAGTAATAAACTTTGATGATCTTCATAAACGCGAACTGAATTACGCAAAATAATAATAGACAAGATCAATTATTTCCTGGGAATTTTAAATTTCAGATTACGGTATAATATGATTTACTTGATTCTAGTATTGGTAATTTTTGTACTACACACATGGGAAATAAAGCAGTAACAGTGTATTGCTCAGTGAATTCAGAGCCAGAGAGAAGTCGAAATTAAGCTCGTTGGAAGTATGTTTCAAATGAAAATAAAATAATCTCCTGTAAGATATCTTGTTTATAAACACACTAAGTGAAACTAGTTATAATATCCATTCGTCATCATTCATTATTATTAAATACAGTACGATTGCAGATGGTTATCTATTAAAGCAAGATTTCGAACTTTTCTTAGAAGTTCTAGCCTAAAGCTTAGAATGTAATCTAGTTGTAACTACCAAAATTTGATTGTTAACTTCAAATTTTGTAAAAATGTATATGACTATTCATGTACATTTGTTGTATCAGATTAGTTGTTAAATGCCAAACTACTGAATCAAAGCATATCAAAGTCTCATGGTAATATTTGTTTATTTTGCACTGATTTGATAACAGATTATATGTCAAATGCCAAACTTCTGAATCAAATCATACATGATTCGTATAGTAATATTTGTTTAATTGAACTTATTCAATACTTACAGAGGTGGCATAGGGGATATTATATTTTGGCTTGTATGAGCAATTTATGTGCTTTGTGTACAGTATTTGTGACTTGAATATGTGAATATGTTGAGGAATACCTTTGTCTGTTTCTAGTGTTTTTGTGGTTTATATTTGAATATTTATCATAACTTGACAACAAATGCAGCAATACTAAGTTTATAGCTGGGTATTTGTGTTGATACCTGATGGAGATGGTTTTGCATTGCGTGTAGAACGTACCATGTATATTCCTATACTTTCAAGAGATTGTAGCGTTGTGAGTGTTTTATTGTGCATCAGCAAAGGAAAGATAATTGTCACAACTGGGGACACTTCTCCATTTTGCTATGATAACTTTATAAATAAATAAAGTACAGAGTAAGTCAATATGCCCTGTAAACTTTTCTACATCATCCTAACGACCTAATTGAAATATTAACAATACCATGGGTTCTTTGAAGCAACATATATATAATTTTATGGAATTCCTTCTAAATTACCGCTAAGGGTGTAATAATATCTATTATTCAAGAGTTATTCATATTCGAATTCATGCTGTTCTTATTGCAATGTAACATTAATATTTCCCTCGATAAGAAAGGTGATAAAATTAGGAACAATAGTTTGTTCTTATGTAAAGTACACATACGGCTCTCCGGTTTGCTATCCCAGCTTTAGCAATCGCTGTCATTACTTCACTTTTTCCTCTGAGGAATTTCTTTCTTGTGTGTTACCCAGCACTACATGTACTCCTGGGTGGAGAGAATCAAATGTTTATCAATGTCTTGCCAACGGACACTAGTGCTGTGTCAGGGCAAAAATCCATGACCTTTCTATCTCCTGCCGGTTCCTAAACCACTTGAGTGCATTTCTCAACTAAACACTGATCAAAATCAGTTAAAGCTTAATAGTTTTGGTTGCAAATGCAAATGCTGTTTTAATGCAAAACTTTCCATAAAGTATCTGCATAAGGCTTGGGAAGACTCCAACTCATTTTGTTCCATTAATAGGATATATTATCAAAAATTTGTCAATTCATGTTCTCCTTTGCTGATGCACAGTTAACTATTAGTAGGTACACAGTTTTCAATATGAGGTTGGCATATCCTACGCTGTGAAGTTCAATTTTTTGCAAAGTGTTGGTGGGGTATCGCCGGTCAGTCAATACTTGAAACAATCAGTGTCGTATATGGGAGTGTTCCGGGTGCTGAGATGTTTAGGTTATATTCAGAAAGATGGAATACAGATCACACGGTGATGGTAGACAGTAATATATGTGGTCACTTCTAGATGTGTGTCTGTTTTCTAGTCGTTGTAATTATACTGAAAGAAAGAGAAGAAATATTGTCACTTCACTTGTGGATTTTAAAGGTATTATTATTTCACGATTCTAATTAAAAAAAGGATTTTTGATTTTTTACACTCGAAAAAGTACTGGAATGTGTGCTAATATTTTCTTTTAAAATTGGTGTGATAAAAAATACTATCTAGATTTCTATATATGTTGGTGTGTGTGTGTTGTGAAAGAAAGAAAGTGTATATAGAATAAATTATAATTGAGCAAGAATGGGTAATAGGAAAGAGACATGAAAAGAGATGAGATAAATGTATATACAGTGCTTATAGGGAAAAAGTGTTCCCAACTTCGGTAGTTCCTAATTAAAAAGTTATTACCAATACGACTTTGAAATCTATTTCATGATAAAGAGTAGTAACTTGTTTTCTGTCCAATGATGCCCTATTCATAATATTCCTGCCACGGATGAATGAGCACCAGGGTCTTTCAGTAGTGTTGTCAAAATCGACTTGTACCAAGTTTGGGTTGATGGAACGAATGTGGGGCAGGCCATATGCATGTGCTTCTTCGGTCTTAAATCCTTTTAAAAGTTAAATTATGCCTACTAACAGCCTATTAACTTCCTATCCTGTGATATCCAAGTTCACTCTGCTGACTTGTCTGTTGCGCCATTTCATACACGTAAGGATAATAAGGTGTATATCTCGAAAATCGAATGAAAACTAAAATGTTACTAAACACAAATACCAGAAAGAACACATGATTTAGTATCAAAGAAATTGACAAAAGACTTGCATTGAAATAAGATAACATCCCAAATGAACGTTATCCATTTCGAATCACTCTATGTGAAAGGTCACCTTATAAACAAGGGGTGCGAATAAAGTCAAGATTGTATTCATCATAACGAAGAGAATATCATAAATTTGGCTTACAATAAGCATTTCCCTGAGTTTGAGCTGATAGCAACACCTTTTCTTTTCAACTGCCTTTTAGTCAATGTAAAAAAAGTGAGTATTTGTTTTTGGAATTACATAAAACACATATTATGGATTTTGACCCACATGTATTGCTTCACCCAAAACTTGGTACAAGTGGATTTTGACAATACTTTTTGAAAAGCCTGCTGCTCAGTCAACCGTGGCAGCACAGTTATGAATATGGTATCATTAGACAGGGTATTACTTTCTCTTTACTATGAAATATGATTGAAGGTCACATTTTTTTCTTCTTGTCCTTTTACCGAGGTGTTTTATGTCACATATTTTACATTTCATATATATTTACATCAATATACATTTTAACATAATAAAATAAGACAAGAGTAATTAAATAAATAGTTATAATTTCTTGAAAATTTTCTTTGTGTTTCGTCAATAAAAAGCTCACATAGATTATAACTTTTTAATTAGAAGCTACCAAAGTTTGGTACACTTTTTTTTTTCTTCTAATACGCACTGTAAAGGCGAGAGGGGAGGGGTAGAATGGGAAAGAGGAAAAGAGTGTAAATGGGGAGAAGGGGGAAGAGGGGGAGAAGGGAGAGATAGAAAGAGAGAGAGAAAGTTAGAGATAGAAAGAGAGAGAGAGAAAGGGAGGGGTATATGGAAAGGTGAAGATAAAATGGCAATAAAGTGGTAAAAGAACAAGAGAGGGATGTGACAAAGAGAGAGAGAGATAGAGGATGAGTGAATGAGGTAGGATAAGAGAGGGGCGCAAGAATACGATCGTGAAGGAGATAAAACTGGAATGAATTGAGGAATAGGAAAAGGGAGACGAACAAGTAATTGAGAGAGGTAAAGAGAGATGTGGGGGTAGAACATGAAGACTATTAGGGTGCTGCGCGCAGCACGCACACGCATTATAAATCACTCAATGCAAATGAGAAATATGATTAAAGACATGCTTTTCTCTATTTCCGTTTTTTTTTGTAAAAAATTACATTGCACATGAAGCTGTACTAATCTATAAATATTGATAAGAGAATATAAAAACATTAAAGTCTATCAACGATTGGATCATTATATCTTCAAGTTCGCAGTATATTATTAAAAATTGGCTCATTTTCTGGAAATTCAACATTAGTTTACACAAATATATTTCAGCTGCAAGTTCAGTTAATTGTCCTTATGACTAACAACGACTCTATTTGTCTTGAACAAAATTTTGGCCTATATGCCTATACTAATTCATGTGCAAAATATACAAGGAAATATATACACAAATGTTCTAATGCTTTTCTGGTTCGACGTTACTGATATGAATGGTGATAATTTGAGATTTCAAAATCAAATCTCATTCCTGCTTCCTGTCGTGGCATCGCTCGCTGACATTTTGATGGCCATCTTTTCTCCTCCATTTAAACGAAAAATTGACATTTGTGCCTTTATGCGATTCGTTTTTGTCCTTTCTGCAAAAATGGAAAATATGAATACCTCCTCTTTTGCTTCTTCTATTTCTTCTTCTTTCTTCTTCTTTCTTCTTCTTCTTCTTCTTCTTCTTCTTCTTCTTCTTCTTCTTCTTCTTCTTCTTCTTCTTCTTTGTTCCCTCTTGAAAGAATTTCAGCCAATATGCTGATGTAGCTACTGGTGACACGCCCCTCCCCAGTTTAAAGACAAACAAGAGTGAAGATACACCTTGCGAAGGTGAAGAAAGAAAGGGAAATGGATACAATGACATTGGAAATGCATTGGAAAAAACTACTAAGACCATACATGCACCTCGATCATGTATCAATGATTTTCAGTTCTTCATGTTTTTATTTAACGATGTGAATCACGATCTTCAAGGTGCCCCCACTAGATCTTTCACAATGTTATAAGTGTACATTTTCCAGTTAGTGTTATGCAATTTATTTCTGCTCGTCAATACTTCTATAGTTTCCTTGATATCTATGTGGGCGATCCTCCGAAACAGATTTACTCTTCTGATAATTATCACCTTCAATTCCAGGATTAATTTCATCTGCTTTGTCAACACTTCTAGTTATTTGGGAACCTTCTTTAATATTCCCAAAAATATCTCCAAAATCTATTTTCTGTTTCTCAGCAGCTTCGACGGCGTGCTCTAGCACCGTTCTCTCCTTCTTATTACCACCTTCAGAAATATCAAAGATTTCCTTCAGTCTGTCGTTATTCAATTTAAAAGCAAACTTGGTATCCACCATGGCATCCACATCGACATTATCAGTCAATTTCTTTATCCTTCCTCCCGGGCAAACGTCCGTTACTATGGTAACCTCTCCCTTCTCTTCGAATTCTTTGAACTTGGTGAACTCCTGCTTGAAATTGTGGATGTTTCCAGTGTACTCGAACTCTACATCTTCATAGTAGTGATGGTTGACACGGTAACCATTCTCCGCCATGTTTGACGGATAGAAACCATACAAAGTCACGTGATTGCAGAATGTCTTGGCTATGATGTACGCATTGAAGCCGGTTGTAGCGTAGTGGTTCAGACCATGAAACCTGCATTCAAGAAGGACAACAATTAATGGTGGCGTGTTTGATTAAAATTGAGCAGCAGAAATAATTACGATTTCGAGTGAACAGCATAGATTTTGGCGCATTTAAAGGTTTTGTTTGGGAAAGATGACAATTGTGATATGCTAATCAATTGAAAACCAGTAGCGGATCCTTAGGTTTCCATATTCCCTTCCCCAGTAAAACCATATGACATTCTCCGGAGTACATAAAGTGTTGATTAAATACAGTGTCGCCTCTAAATGCACCGATAGCAATTGTAGACAAGAAGCACCTGAAAATATTTATAATAACTATTATTTTTGGACTTGTGCACCCCGGCCACATAGTCCTAGATCCACCACCGGAAACATCAATTACAGTCGATATGGAATTTAGAATTGAATAGCTGGTGATCGCAAGTCACAACAAGATAATGCAAGAATTTTTTTAATAGAAACTTTGAAAGAATGTTTTGCCCCAGATGATTATGATAATCCAGTTTCATACGTGGTGGAACTATAAAAAAGAAATGATGACTTACTTTTCAAAAGACACTGGTCTCCAGCTATAGGCGAGCTGGATTGGTAGATGGTAGTAATCCTTGAGAACGTGAACGGCATCCTTCAGACGAAAGCTACTATTCCGCTGTACAGTCGACTTGGAGTACCACAGTATCGAGTCATTCAGGTACCTTACTCTGTCTACATAAGTCTGATGCCAATGGGTATCGGGAGATGTCTGCGTCAGGTTATTACGCAAATAGAACAGGGTTTCGAAGTTCATAATGGTAAGATGGGAGCGTTCCCCGACATCGGCGGTATAACCTTCGATCGGAGCGAGGTTCGCGCGTATGATGTAATCATGTTTATCGATCACCTTCCCGCATTTGGAACCACTCAGTATCCCGCTGTTGCCGACGACCGCGCAGCTGTTGCGGCGGTCGAGGGTGGAGACCCGGGGCCAGTAGTGGTCGATTGGGCAGTTGATGTCGAAGTATCGTCCCGAAGCAAACTCCGTAGCGTAGTTGGCAAGGTTGATGCGTGGGTGTGTGTTCTGTGAGAAGCTCATCTCGTGAGCGGCGACATCCTGATCGTAGACGAGCACGGCCATTCGTCGAAGGTAACATGCTGGGATGTCATCACTGTAAGATTACACAGGGAGATAATTATCAGAATAATACTGCTTCATTTCCATTTAAGTAGGCCTACTTAAACTATTGGACAATTGTGTTTCGAAACTTACCCGTTATGCAAATTGTAGATTAAAAAGAAAAAGTTATGTCATTTGTACTTCTTACCTTTAATAACCAAAATGGTACTTTTTCGGGGGTAAATAACCATGATATCTGTCACTTTTCACTATTTGTAATTCATTTAGAAATTCAATTTAAAAGTAACATGATAATGATAATGATAATTATAATGATAATGATAATGATAATGCTCCATTTTACTTTGTATGAATTCTTTATTTTCAAACTCGTTGGGTCCGTATTATATTACATTTTCTAACCGATGGCCGAGTTCAATAAGACAGGGGTATTCCACTTTGTTGAGTATGACATTCAAACTTGTGTCTGGCTGTTACGTAATGATACCATGAATACGGGTCTATGTGCCATGGTCCTAGATTAACCTATCAGTCATTTATAAATGACACATATCACTTATTTAGGTTAGAAAATGGGTCCTCATCAAACTTAATAGTTATCAATAACAAATGCTAAATTTCTATAACAACATTTGATGCTAAATTTCGATGACAAATTTGCTCTCAGCGAATCAGATGTCACGATTTTCGTTGCTTACAACAGTTATTGTAACTGTGTAATTTGGTTTTTACAGACGTGTAAAAATCGATATGATCATTTACGTCTGGGGACCGACGTTTAATGCCACCATCCGAAATACATGGCGCAGTTTCGAACCGGGGTCGCTTGAGCAAGTTTGTAGGCGAAGACAGAAAGGTGACCAAGTGAACTAGACCAACTCACATCTCTCTTGTTATTGATATGGAATTTTATGAACAGGGTCCTGGTGGCTTACATACCTTGTGCAGAATAGATGACACTCTCTTGTGAGGTGTATTTCAGATAGAATGACGTAGGCAGCCACCATCCCAGACAGGACTAGACACACTCTGGCGAATAACTTGTTACGAGTCATTTTGTTTCTTCTTTATGATACTTTACCAAAATGTCAAACTGTAAAGGAGATAAAAGAGCAAACTTTGCTTAATAGTGAAGGCTATACAGCAAGACAAAGAAGTGCAACAGTTTACTTTAAGAAAAAGCACTGTTTTTTCCTTCAATTTAAATTTTGCCTTCACTAAAGAAACCGAAAACGTGTGGAGGGAATGGGGCTTTGGGATGGTACGCATTTTTCGTTTGTTCATTACCTAAAACAGATTCCTACGGTAGGATTGAATGATAATACCAGGCAAAATTTGCATTTGATATATATTTCATCTAAACATAAACGCTATCCATGAAACGGTTACTCACTTGTATGCTTTACTTCAATTACTAGGCCATATTTACTGACAGTCTGTTGTTGTGTTCACGATAAGAGCATACAATCCATTATATTTTTTCTAAATTGAGGTAAACATTAACTTAAAATTAGATGGTCGTACCTTTCGTTTATACGTTGTAGTGATTAAAATAATTATTTTAATGATCAAATTGAACTACTCTTTGCTAGTTACACCGAGGTTCCCATAAACATAAATAACATATATTAAAAGAATGACAGTTTTAGACTAGAAGAAGAAGAAACGGGATTGTGTATGCCTGATTGAAGATGACTGTGGAAGAGTTTAAGGCCGGTTCAGACAGTCAGTTTACACCAGATGAATTCACATGGTTGTTATTCACGGGGTTATGCATTATAACATACGCATTAATCATGTTATCTTTATGGAGAATCAAAAGGAAACAAGCAAGCTATTTTCCAAAATGAAATTTGCAAAAACTGCAAGGAGACATAACATTAACACATAATATACTATTACCACGATGAGTAAATATATGTATAAACATATACTTCTAGACAAAATCTTAAAACGCTTGTCATTACATAAATCAACCATGAATCATGCCGTTTCAACAAAAGCAGACGAGATATTAAAATAGGATTATACTAGAATGATTACAATAATTTGATGAATTAATAATAACAATTGTTTTTACATACCTTTTGATAAACTATAAAAACTGCTCGACGTAAATTCCATGGCGGAAACATACAATATTAGGAGTGTGACGCTGTGTTATACATAGACCCGAAATATAAAAACACCTGTGACTCACCACGTACAAAATGCCCGCGAAGCAGAAGCGTACGAGTCGAGTTTGTTCCAAAGCACTATGAATAGCCGAGCGCACGTATCCGCAGTGCCTTCTGCAAATATATACATAGGTCGTCTGGCCTGGGTTAATGGTTAACTTGTCAAGCTGTTTTTCTTTAATGATTTATATTGATCAATAATAAAGCTTATGTGGCATCGTCATAGATTAGTATTATATTGATTGAAACGTTTTCGGAACATAAGGTCATCGAGCAAAAGAAACTTGTACAAGGTGTACATACATGTTGCAGAAGGGCCCTCACGATGACGTTACCCAAATAACAGAGCAAAACCATATTCTACTCTTCTGGGTTGCTCGTTCTTCTGCAACTTCTTTTTCCCCTTCATCTATTGAAAGTCTGATTGAACTTAACCTTTTGGATCCTCAGCAATAGATATAATTTCCCTTTCACGGATTTGTCCGTAGTAATGTTGTAAATTCGAGCCTCTTTTTTACTGCTCGTTCTAAATCTTTGTTTTTCTTTCATATGAACAATGTAGGGTCTGACTTCATATTCCTATTTTTGCATTTATTTGTCCCATCCCTCTCTCTCTCTCTCTCTATTTCCTATAATCTATATATCTTCCTTTGTTTCTCTCTCTGTCTGTCTGTCTCTGTCTGTCTCTATATGTCTCTCATCCTCTCTCTCTCTTCTCTATTTCTATCTCTCCCCTTTTTGTATATAAGTACTTGTTACCTTTTTTGTAATAATGAAAAGTAGTGACAACAATCGTAAAGTACTAAGGAAATTGATCACAATGGAACAATCACAATAAAATAAGCTAGCAAACATGGCAAGCTGGCAAATCTATTTATTTTCACTTCAATTTTTTGAAGAATACTCATGTTGAAAACAAAAGGATTTCATGGTTAAGATTTACGAAACCATTCAACATAGATCTAATTGTATTTTTTTAAATAATGAAAATATTCATTTTACCTGACGAAAATAAAATGTGATAAACAAATATGGAAATAAATCTATGGAAAATAAATCTTTATTATAAAGTGCAGATTCTTTAAAACAAATATAATTTTAAGTTATGTTTTCCGTTGATAATCATTCATTAATCGGAATTGTGTTACCTATTTATTCAAATTCGTGCCGACTAATTTGTTTAGTGCTCGATATTGTTTGTATATTACTCTCTTTGTATACATACATTTTGATTATAAAATTGAATACGCCGACCACAAAGACCATGATACCATAAAATACCCCCACTTCAAAAGGCCATGGCATACGAATCCCACAACGAACTCCAAAAAAAACAAAAAAACACTTACTTCCACCAAACTAAAAAGGAATCCCCAATTTATCATTTTGTCCGACAGGATTCCCCCCCTGCCAACTAGCCATAGGTCTATTTATGATTTTTTTTTGGGGGAATAAAACCATGAGAAAGCAAAGTACCATGCTAAATATATTATATTGGCTGTCCCGTAAATAATAAAACATCATGGGTATACATCTATTTTAATGTGATATAATTAAATTATAGAAGGTTTTAAACATTTACATTTCAGACATGCTATAGACTTAGATTTTTTTTCTTCTCCAATTTGTTGGGCTCTCCGACAGGCCATTTTATTGAAAATAAATCTCTGAATAACATATTTGAATACATGTACCAATGAATATCATAAAATACTTCAGATTAAGATATACACAATGAATATCAACCATAATAAGCGATGTCTGAAAGCATAGCATATTGATAATAATGATATGATAATGATAATACTATACATACAGAACATGATAATAAAAAATGTTATAGCATTAGATTATGCCCTACTTTCTCTATCAGGTTCATCGTTACTTGGATTGAACTCTTCAAAATAATCAATAAACGCTTTGAATGTTTACTATGAGGATATGAAATGAAGAGGTTAAGGCACTCATTTAATATCTAGTTTCATCATTTATTTTTCCTTGTGTGCCTTTGGCTAAACTTCTACATAGCCGGCCTCATTTGAGTGTCTATCAGAGCTGTTATGTATGCTGATTGTTCCCTCTGGCTTGGGGATGAGTAAGTTTTGCTATTTGCTTCTTTCCACGACACGGAGTGTGATGCCATTAGGAGGGTTGATGAACCCCATCTTACCAAGAACAGGTGGAATCTAAAAACACGAAGATGAAAAAAAATCCGACTTGATAATTGTTTACATCATATATAACTCAGCGTAATATATATATTTTCCTATTGATTGGGGTATTAGGCTATTTGATGAAACTGTTTGATATATCTGATGAACAGTTTCATTATGATCTTTATAACCACATGAAGTGCCTATTCATGCCATATTTGCAATATAGCAAAGTATATCTAGACTTTGACATAATTTGAACAAGTCAACAGCGCAATAAGTCCATCAGGGTGGAAATAGAAAGTATCATTGGACATAACATGCGATATCAGTATAGACAACAAGAGACTGATTTTGCCGAGCTTTATGGACAAATATTAATAATGTCTTCTCCTTGTAGTATAGATAATATTACAGTTTGAATTACAGAAAGGGTTATACCTTCCTTCTCTTAAGTGATAGTTTTTTATGTATGCAAAACATTAACAAAAAACAATGATCATGGTCAGTATATAAAGCCTATCTGCACTAGTTTGGCCAGGAGTGATTAGACCTCCCTGCATGGTCACTGACAGATGGTTATCTCATCAAATCAGCTATCAATTAACATAAGAAAAATGGGACCATGGGGGACCAACGGTCACCGCTTAGACATTGTTTGCTGTATAGAGGGCGCAAGTAGCTATAAGTAGTGCAGTGGAGCTTTAAAGAGAATGGGAGCATGATAATAAATCTTATTCAATTCAATTCAATTCAATAAGGGTTTATTCGTATGATGTTCTGGCAGCCGAAGCTGAATTGCAGATCATTTGTACAAGGTAAAAACATCATTATATTTAAAATACACTGAGCATTATACATGTTGACATAAAATAAAATTAATGACATATAAAGGGATAAAAATACTGGACACATTTATACACATAATAGGCAACATCATTAAACATAAACATATACAAAAATATATGAAGCTTACTTTTTTGAATAATAATCGTTTAAGATACGAACAAAATAGGGAATAGAGCTGTTATTAAAGCGACTAGTTTTACAAATAAATTGAGAATATTTCTGTACATTTCGTAAATCAAATTTAACAATTCTTTGACTTGGTAGCCATAACGAACACAAATCATGCTTTTCTAATTTAATGGCGAAATCAAAACAAAGTTTATTCCTACGTTCTTCCAACGTTAACAAATTGCACAGTTCTAGAGCATGATTATATGTTTCATAATTAAGTCCCAAAATAATTCTACATGCCCGTTTTTGTATTCGTTCAATATTATCTGTTTGTATACGTGTTAGGTTGGAATGAAAAAGTGGTGCACAATACTCTAAAATTGGTCTTATGTATCCAGTATAAACAATAACGAGATCAATAATAGGTAAATTAAAACGTTTCAAGGTACGTAACATATATAACTTTCTATTGCACTTCTTTAACATTTCCTTTACTTGAGTATTCCATTTTAAATCACATTGAATATAAACTCCAAGAACTTTGATTACATTTTCTTCATTTAAAAGTGTCTCATCAATATACAATAGTTGGTGAGTTTGATTTTTCATAAAAGAGACTGTCATAGCAATGCATTTAGTTGGGTTAAGTTTCATATTATTGAGTAAAGACCAATTTTCTAATAACAATAATTCCGATTGCAATTTTGATATTTGTGTACAAGTCCGGCTTTCTACTATAGTTAAATCATCCACATACTTATAAAAAGGGAGTAAACAATCATGACACGCATCGTTAACCATAATTAAAAATAATATAGGCCCCAATTTTGTACCTTGAGGGACTCCTACATTGTTATTTTTTACATTTGAAATACGACCTTTATACCTTACTACTTGTTGGCGGCATTCTAAAAAATCTACTATTAATGAAATGACACATGGTCGTACATCCAATTTAACAAGTTTACAAATTAAAATATTATGATCAATCCGGTCAAACGCTTTAGAAAAATCGGTTAAAACTATTGTTGAAATTGTTTTTGGTTTATCTGCATTTTTGTATAAATTATGTAACATTGCAATTAAATAATGGCAAGTAGAAAGACCACGACGATTTCCATACTGGTTTTTATCAATAATATCACCAATATCCTCACACAACCACTTAGTAATGAAAGTTTCAGCTATTTTAGCAAAGTAAGAAGTTAGGGCTATGGGCCGTAATTCAAGTAGAGTTGGTGGATATGATTTGGGTACTGGTACTATCTCAGCATATTTCCATACTTGTGGAAACACCCCTTGCTTAAATGCAAAATTAAGAATATAACATAATGGAAAAGATAACTCATAAGCAAATTCACGTAATATTCGGACAGGTAAGTCGCCTAAAATAGTCGATTTTTGTAAATTAAGTTTACGTAACAGATCATACACTTCTTTCGGTTCTATTATTGGGCAATCCACAGGTGAAGGTAAATATGCTGGTAACTTTGTTTTATCAAGTTTCGGTAGGTCTGCTGCCACAGATAAAAACTTATCGTTAATGCAATCGGCTGCTTCCTTAAGATGTTCAGGCTGATCAGTTGCAATACCTGGTATGTCGATGGATGGTTGATCTTGAGGTCCTTGAGTTATGAGTTTTATATGACGATACCAATCAGCGGGATTATTTATTTTAAGTGTATGAATTCTTTTATTATAAAATGAGTCCTTAGCTAATATTATTGCATCTATAACTTTGTCTCTAAAATATTTCCACAGCTCTTTATTACCAGAGTGCCAAGCTTGCTGTCTTCGTTTAATTAACGATTTTATCTCACTAGATATCCAAGGTTTATCACTTTCATGAAATTTGATAGTCTTAGTAGGTAGGGACTGATCAATATGTTCTCGCACAACATTATAAAATAAATGACACATATCCGACGGGTCAATGATTTGATACAAATCTTCCCACGTGTGACGGGTTATCCAAGTGCCAAACGCTCGGATTCCACTATCTGTTAGAGGGCGCACTATTTTTGTCCGCGTCTCGTTAGTCAGCTTGCCAGGTTGACGGAAGAGGGCTGAAGGGCGCCACAGGATGCCGTTGTGATCACTCATCCCTAGCGGTGCAAGGATCTCAACAGGCTCATATGCGTAATCAAAATTTGTAATAATTTTGTCCAATATATTTTGACCTCTGGTTGGCTTATTTACAACTTGACAGAAAGTATCATTTTCTAAAATTTGGTTCACATCAAGATCATTAAAATCACCTACTACAACTTATGAAAGTTCTTATACCCTACCTCTGTTTCGGGTGCCACTTCAAGACGGAACTGCTGTAGTAGCATCACCGTTGCCGTTCTGATCTCCATCATCGCAAACCTTAACCCGATACAGAACCGAGGACCACCACCGAATGGAAGCCAGGCCAGAGGGGCACGACCAGCTGCGTTCTCCTTATTGAATCTGACCGATTTATACATACAATGGTTTTAAAATGGTGCAATTCAGGTAAGTCCTTCTAATGACATTTGTAAAGAGATTAAGAACCGAATAATACGGTTCAGAGCGTCAACTGAAGGACCAAAATGATTGAACTGTCAACTAACCAACAAAGTCACAGGCAGCAGAAGAATACTTTGAGAGGGCAAACGTTTCTTTTTCTAAAGCGTTACATTTGTTAAAATATCTCTGACACGCCGCGTCGCCTCCTCCTTAAAATTGAATGTATTATAAAAGAACTGGTGATTATTGTTTGAGAAAACATAGAGAGCGAAGAGCATGATTCGTTTAATTGATGTTTAATTGGCACGATCATCAATCATGCTTCAACTCTTAACATCATACATTATCTATGAGATGTAGAGATGGTATTCTCGAAAGCGGACTAACTTTAGTCCATGGTTTACTCCACCGACTAAGTATGGAATGCCAAGTGTCCATAAGCATATATTTTTGAATAATTTGACATGTCCCTATGATGATAACATGATTATATCATAGTTATATTGTTGTTTATTAATTATGTTATTACATTTTACTTTAATTTAGTGACAAATTAAATTATTCAAAAACATATTCATATGGACAATTGGCATACCATACTTAGTCGGTGTATTAAACCATGGACTAAAGTTAGTCCGCTTTCGAGAATACCACCCTTTATGTATAATAACGTTACCTGTCTGGGTCAAACTTCTCTGGGTTGGGCCAGTGTTCTGGGTCCCTATGAACGCTCCATATCGGGAGGCTGACGGAGTCTCCTGCTTGGAAAACATGGCCGTTGATCGTCGTCGTTTGGTTACACACTCTATCAATACTGTAACAAAATCACAAAATGATAATAATAAATAATAATAATAATAAAGCCTAATGGTCCACTCCAAATTTTATTAAACCGAAACGGAAATTCTTTTTGCCCAATTGATCGTGAGCCCGGCAGCCACTGAGCAGCGCCAGATCGACGTTGCTCTATTTCTTATTGTTGAACGCCAAACAAGGTAGCAACAACTCCCATCTTTTAACGTCTTTTGGTATGACGCGGCCGGGGTTCGAACCCACGACCTCCCGGTTGTGAGACGGACGCTCTACTGACCGAGCCTACACTCCGATAATAAAATCATAAGAGAAAATGAATTGTAATCTGACATATTTACTACTGCTAATTTGAGTATAATGGTATATTCACGCAACGACATAACATGGTTGCAAACAATGTCTTACAAATAATGAATAAAATAACTAAATTATCAGCCATGACCACGCTCAAGATAAGATGTAAAACGTTATCATAATGTTTGCATAATTCAATAAGCAATACGCAACAAACAGCATTTCCCAAATCGAGTTTTCCCATTGGTTCCAATCGAAGTAAACTTAACGATGACAGGCAAGAACCAATGCTTACAGAGCACCGGGTGGGTACAATCGAAGTGACTCGCTGATGAAGTTCTCTAGACAAGTTAGTTTCTTGAGGTTGTCGTAGGTGATGTCCTCTGCCGTTGGCACCAATCTGTCTATCTCGTCAATGAGACGATCTTGCTGATCGGGGTTCGTTGCCAGGAGGTAGGCGGTGAAACACAGTGCAGTGGTTGTTGTCTCGTATCCAGCAACAAAGAATGCAAGTGCCTGTGTTCAGTAAACAAGACCAACAGAATCACAGTGGTGAAGCTGTTGCAAATCTAACGGAAATTTCTCTCTTTTTTGTCTGCAAATTCGTTCCAGAATCTCAGAAAACTTTGTTTCCCCATGTCATGCCTGACAGAAGTTTCTAAATAATTGGTCCGACATCTTCAGCCTATTGATACACCTGTTGTTTAGAAGACATTCTTCAAGCACAGAGCACCTTAAGTGGAATTGTGGAAAAGAGTACTTGAGGTCAAAGTTTCATATCAAATCATAACGAATTTGTAGCCAATTTTGTTTTCTTCTGAATATTCATCTTCCCTTCTTAACCCAACAATTTGATTTCGTTTTTTTTTTTTTTTTTACCTGACTTGTCAGCTCTTGTCGAGTCAGCGCCTGCCTCTTTCTCTTTTTATCGATGGCATGGGATGAAGAAGATGTGCCATTTGTCGTTGCGTCATCGTCATCGTCTTCGTCTTCGCATGCGTTATCTTTGGTAGAATCGATAACCAGCTGGAGAAAGTCAACAGTCTAAAATAACAAGGAGCAATGAAAATGTTCTCAGATATGGCATGCACTATAATATCGTTTGTTTAGTGCAAGAACGATAATAACTCTGTTTTAAAGGATATCAGTTAACGCCCTTCTGGCCTTCCTGAAAATAATTACTCCCTTTTGACATACGATACGAGAGTTGACATGCAGAATGATTGAAATGTGTTTGAATAACTTGGATTTAGCTAACAATTCGATCAAAGGATCATTAAATCAATCAATCGATCAACCAAGTATGCAATTAACTAATCAATTACTCAATCACTCAATCAGTCAAACATCAAATCTTCATTAATTCAATCATTCGATCGTTTGATTATTCAATTCATCACTCAATAAATCCACTAACCTTTTGTGCAATCAATATACTAATAAATTGTTCAACATCAATTTATCTTCTTCTTCTTGTTCTTGGTTTCCTCCAGGTTTGGAGAACTGCGGAGTGTATCCTTCGCAGATTGAGTAAATAGATAGTAGACAGACAATAATAAACTGGGTACGTAATCATCAATCATACATTTATTCAGTCAATATATTACACAGTCTATTACTTAATTAATCAATCATTCAATCAGCCAACCAATCATGCAATTAATCAGTTATCTCCAATTCGGAACGCTACACCTTGACATAACAAACCTTTGCAGCTTTGTTCGTCTTCCTCTGCTCGACAGCTTGGTCAATAATAGCTATAAAGAATTCTAGGACTTCAGGGGGGAACACTGTCAATCCCAACAACGGCAGAATGTGTGAAACTCCTGGAATCTTACCTGAAATGATAATTTTAAAACATGCACATGTATAGTCTTATCTATCCCAGGGTTCTTTAGCGGTTCTAATACTGCTCTTTTTGCGTGCTTATGAAAAGCCGATTTGCTATTTGAAATGACGTTTTGATATCACTAATTCCATTTCGTGATATTACGAATTCAAATTTGTGATATCCCAAATTGAGAGTGCAGATATCACTAATGTCTTTACAAGTAACTCAATCATGAGTCAACTGCTCCATTTATCGTATGCTACTCCTTACCAATTAGAGATTTCACAATACATTGAACAATAATTAAAATTCATCCTAATAATGTGTAGTTTTTACTTTGCTCAGTTTTAGAGAACATCTATGATGTCAAAATTATGGATTCATTGTTTAATGTGATGACACTACTTACTGGTAAGCATGCTAATAATCATCGCCGGTGATGTAAAGTCTAAACTGGAGAAGAATCTCTTGGCATTGAGAACAAAGGGATCATCCTTGTTTTTCTGTGAATCTACATTTAATCCAAACGCACACAATCCTATCGTATCCATGATGTATGCACCAAACAATCTAAAAGGAGAAGAGGTATAACAAATCATAGAGTCTTATTTGCAATCATTTGAAATGAAAGTAAGGTCATTTCGTTCCACCTGAACAGTATACGCCTATATACATGGAGATCGGATTAAAACCCATACATTTTTGTGAGACCTGGTACCATATTTCATAAAATCTAAAGAACTTAATTTACAAAATATCAAGAAAAATATCTACGGTATCATAATAAAGTATTCATCCATATCATGATCTCAAATATACTTCCAAGGTGTATCAATTAAAAACGAAGATGGATTTGAACACATATTGCGATGTATTAATAAGACTGATTACTTCTCAGACGGGGTAATAATCTTGCCAGCCCATGTACCTAAACCTACTGGTATTGATAGGTTTTGATGGGCCTTCTCCTAATGGGCCCAGGAGAGGGTGTACACCAGCTCAACCCTATGCTGCATACAGGTATATATGTCACTCGTACAAGTCACCTACTTACTCCTTTAACTCGACTATGCCTTGTCTGTCTGTACCGCATACTTTTTTCAAATTCTGAACAAGTCTGCTGGCTGGTTCCCTCACCATCTCCGACATCTGGATATAAGGTTGAAAGTAAAATGACTTGATAGCAACCCTTTTTTCCCCTTCTTTTCTATTGACTATTATTCAACCAACACAAACAAATATTACATTAATGGCCAATATCATTTTGTTTTTGTTGTATGCTTTTGGATCAGATCGATGAGACCAGTACGTGTAGTAACAATAGTCAAAATACTGTGTGGCTTTTGTTTCCAAAAAAGTGTTAACAATGAACACATATTTTGTCAGCGAACCAAAATCATGGTCTTACAAATATACTCCAATGATTCATGATATTTAAGGCCTTTTTGAAATATATTTAAATATATATAAATACATACTCCAAATTACATGTAACCTCAACATTTCCTTTTCTTGATCCTCTTAAATAGTTACATATTTAAATAGCTATAGTGAAGTTTTTTCATAAATGCGCAATTACGGTCGGCCAACATTGTGGACATAGTGCAGAAAATTGTATTATTTCTCATTTCCCTTACATTTTCTGTTACGCCTGCTCATAAAAGTATGCCCATGATATTTCATGACTCATTCCATTTCAAAAATACATTAGTTAAAGGTAAACAATACTTCGGACATACAAATTAATATTAAAAATAAATAAATTACTAACCAGTTTCATCTTCCTACCACTGAATGCTGGAGTAAGTGTGTGTCGAATCTTCTTCCACTGGTCATCACTGCTGAGGAACAAAGCACTCCTCAACATCGGATTATCTACAGGAATATACTTCAAGAGGGAGAGAACACACTTGTTAATGCGACAAGAAATTAATTTAAGTATCTGTGCACTCGTCTAACGGATATTAAAAGTCAGGGGAACCATACTAGTCTCTATACCTTCCATTCAGAACTTCTGTAGATAAATTCGTTAATGTGTCACACCCTACATCTCCTATAGTGATAGACTTGGTTTTGGTCACTAACACAGTTGCTGCATGACAGTTTCATATCCCCCCTTAAGTACAGTCCATGCACCATCGGGATTTTTTACTATTTGACAGGTCCTGTCTTATCGAGTTGCGATTGATCCAAATCAATCGTTGGTTCTCCAATCAATCGTAAGATTGCAGCCTTCTCTCTCTTATGTACATAGTTGTGATTGATACGGGATGATATCAATCGCGACAAAGTTGCAATCAATATCAACTCTTTATAAGACGGGGCCCTGGTGTTATGTACATTTATGTTTGGTGCCCACTAAAAAGAAATCTAGATAGTTCATCTTATCGAAGCTGGATGCTTTGCATCTACTGCTTGAAGAAACAAATAGCATTCACAATCGATGGAATATAAAAAAATAACTCTACCAAACTAAAATTAGAAAAAGTATGGTGAAGACAGATTCATAAAAAGACCTCTTAAATGCAATCCCAAAAATAGACCTGTTTACTAACATATTATGTTATACATACTGTTTAAACTAAGGTCGTTCTTGACAGCCTGAAAACTTGCCTGAGACTTGCCGACATAGCAACAACTAATATATGCAGACTGGATTCCGAGTATTGTAGTTTATACATAACTCATCACTAGGTCCCCAGGAAAGAAACATCCATAAATTTGAATATGTTAGTAAACCGGTCTATTGAATTAACGTAATTTTTGTTTGTCTATATAATTACCATTCTGTTGTGGAAACGATCGAAATGTTTAACCATTATTTGTTTTATCATGTCGGGGTCAGCCACAAGTATAGCAGGTGTTAAGAATTGGTAAAATCTACAGAAAAGAGAAAAGAACATGAAAAGAAACCACATTACTGTGAATGTTGAGACTTTAATTTTGTGATTACAACAACAACAAAAAACATTAATGAAGAATGCAGTGATACTAATAAGTTATGTTGTTGTCATTATTCCTGATTTGGGTACTCTCGAACGAAAATAATTGCACAAAGATAATTTGTTATTTATTGTAACTTTTCTAACTTTTTTCTTCGAGAACATACATGTTGGTCGATCACTAATCGTTTACGTTCTACAAACTACACAATCACGTTGAATGTAATTTTATTACATAGTCGGCAGAATGGTAAGGTCCATAGTGATCAAATTTGGCTACATTGGAATACTGCAAATCCCAAACTAGGACAGTGTAATGCCTCTTAATGGTCTTGTCATGAGTATGAAGTCAATATAGTAAAGTTTGTTGTTCATTAATCAAAACGTTTAATTAAATCCAGAAGTTTCTATCTAAGAACGGCAATTAGCCCACTGGATACAACAGATAACGAAAGTCAATATGAGAGTAAAATACTTAACCAAAATATACAATAGAATAAGTAGTGAACCTAAAGTAATTTACTTAAGCATTTTGCCTAGTAAAGTACTTGGTCAAAAGTAAAATACTTAGCACATGGCGATTTGGATCCCGACTTAACTAAGTATTTTACTCAAGGCAGAAACTAAGTAAAAAATACTTTAAAATGTGCCTTAATTTTTTAATTGAATACCGGTCCTAATGATAATATTTCTCATCTTACCCGCAACAGTTTCCATATTTCTTGATATATCCATCCAGCGCATACTGTACACCCTGCATAGAAGGCATTGGGAAGGTGAATGAAGGAATAAATGAAAAACTTTCTTATCCAAACTAGATACATTGTATATAATTAATTTGTAACAGGACACCGCTACATATCAATACTCATATAGTAAGGTGCGGCGCTTGACAAACAAAATACCTAATCAAAACGGTATTCATCCCTTGTGACATAATAATAGGCCTAGCACATTTATGTTATGTACATTGTTACTCATCTTGTAAGAAATAACTATTGTTGTTGAAACAGCATAGTCTCGAACATATACACAAGATGGTAGTAGTATCTATGCCGTTGGTAATAATTCATCCGTGAGACAAAATCCCGGACATTCAGTTCTGATTGATGAAAAGTCAAGTTGCATTTGATTTATGGTGGAACTTTCGATCAAGTATGGATAGGAAGTGGGAGATATTTAAACTCTTTGAAATGTAATGACCAATCACAAGCTATGATATAAATATCGTTTATCATTTTTTTATTTTAAAGGGAGAGGTTACAATTATACCCTATCCACTGATCCTTGTATCGCATTTTCTATGCAACAGGCACCATCCCTTCACACACACACACACACACACCCACACCCACACGCACACCCACCCCCTACATACACACACGCACACACACCACACACACGCACGCACACCCACACGCACACCCACCCCCTACATACACACACACACACTCACACCACCCACACACACACACACATACATCCCCATACACACAACAGTATTCGGTCCAAGTATAGTAGGTATCATGAATGAGTAGGCTACTTGGGAGGGAGTGATTCCTGATTTTTTTTTTCACCTCTAGGCAGACATGCTAAAGCCAGCGTAATGGTATTACTATGAAGGCACTTTGAGCGGGCTTTGAGCTTACCATGTATAATCATGTGCGTGATATAAATGCAGGTATTGTCATTATTGTCATTTTAGAGGGGCATGGGCAACACCATAGCCCTATTTATAGATATATATTTATATATTATGGGAGTTGCCCCCAAAGGGGGGCTCCTTCTCCTGCACCTCATCGATGTGTTTATACACAATAATTATGTGAGAACGATACCTCTTTCCAATCGAGGACATTTCCTAGGACGGGGAATGGTAGAGGACCGGGTATTCCCCTGCGAAGAAAGTACGTGTAGTTCCATGTCAGGTATCTGGTGAAAGGAAAGACAAAAAGCCCAAAGGTAATGGCCCAAACCGATGTGAATGGTATCTACTGGACATGAATACTTATATTTGTGGCAGTTTGGCATAAAATGGGATTGGTATCGCATTGTAAGACAGTTTTTAATTACCCCCTCCCCCTTTGTATGTGTATAATAAACAGATGAGTTTGCATTTGCTAATAAATCATTTAGCTTTCCAGATAAATTCCAGGTATTTATAAGAACAAAATCTATCAATATTCGATATCTGTATAAGTTCTCTAAACTATTGTTTGCATATTTCCCAATAGTATTAAGACTTTTTGACTGACAAGAAAATCGTTATGATAAACATATTTTTATACCTTATAATAGTTAACTCACGTATCCAATAAAACATCAAATGCACTAATTCTGGAATATTGGCTTATTTTAGTTTCTCCTGTGGGGATTGTCCTCTATGGAATGTGACGATGATCAGTAACAATGAAATCATGGCGTGTGATCATTGTTATAGATATCAATGAGAATGCAATCATGCATTGAGTCAGACCGAGCCTTCGGCATGGCCAGTTGTCCTCTTGAATGACCCCCGTCGTGAACTTTCTTGAGTTATACAAAGCAAAATTATTTCAAAAGAATTACGTTTCGTTTTTAACTGGATTGAATCTCTTATACAGTGTATGTACTAAACTCATTTACGAAATATCTATTTATTCTACAGAATATGTCATACAGGAGCTCAGTCGCAGTAAAGAGTACAAATTATTATAATTTCATTCCTTATTATATAATTACGAAAAGAAAAACAAATTGTCTTTCTTGCGCATTTTGTTTTTCCTCAGTGAAGTGTGCTTATATCATTGGATGTCAATAGCTATACAATTATGACAAATTGATGTTGGGCTTTGGTGGTGTGTGTCATTTACAGCATTTGTAGATCAGGCCAATCAACACAACGTAAATCACATTTAGACCTACAATATATACAATATCTGTATAATGTACTTACAGTATTAGCAATGCCGTTGCAGCAAACACCAACCATACTGTGAGACATGAACCAGGCGATTCTTGTTGTAGCACTTCCATGATGTAGATGCCTCAGGAGAGCATCAAGCTCAGAGTTCGATAGACAACTATCATGAATAAGGTAGACTTTTCGCGATCAGTGCTGAGAAAGATTCGTAAAAATCAAGTAGACGTGTGCACAGACAAACGTTTCATAACTATACGCAAAGACGAAATGGTTATATACTGCATTACGCATTACGTCACATATTGGTACAACAATGATCCCCAAATACCCGAGTGCACACGGCAAACACTATAAATGATATTTCAATACACACAATCTCTCATATTCATATTTCTATAAGTTAAACAACCTTGAGTCTACCGGGCAAGGTTCATCGAACTGCCTTTACACAAAAGGGGATGGACTTGTAAGGCTGCCACGACAGCAATGAGTAAACATCTTCAATACATACAACACATGCATGTAGATCGTGAAATCAGTTGCCCTCTGTTCATTTGTTATCTTCTTGTTCCCACCTTGTTGGTTCCATGCCTGGTAATAAAATACGACACTTTACACGCGACAATTTCGAAAATTACAAGACTGCATTAATAATTATGCTTGAGGACTTAAGATAACGACCACAACTGGCCTTTTCGACTCCTTAATAAACATTATACAAATTTGCGTAACTTTATATCATAGAAACACAGTGATGTTTAATATGTTGAATAAAAAGAAACAAGTAGATGAGTGCGGTATGCCATACCAATTTAGTCGTATTCGAGAGGTTTGACTTTTTGACTGGACATGCAAAGGTCTTGGGTTTGATCTCAGATCCGGCACTAATGTTTTTTGGCAAAGCATTAATATACATTTGCCACTACATTCCCAAAGGAAGAGAATTGGGAACCTGTGAGGATGACGATGAACATGATGGTAGTAATACTCCCAGGGGATGGAGATGGTGCACACTGTGCGTAAATAAATCCAATAACCGGATAGTAATGATATCTGTAAAGCATTTCGGATTAAGCGCTTTATAAATAAAGATTCATAATCATTATTTATCAAAGGGTCCTTATAAAAAGAGTTACGATTTGGACATGATGGATCAGATCAGATATGATCAGATATTGCTGCGATATTGTGTCCGTACGTCGATGTCAACGCAAAACCCTTTAATCAGCGTTACATTATGTCTCTTTTATTTCCATTTGGGGGCCACTTTCTCTGTCATCCCATTCTTGTCCTATTTGATTTATCGTAACATCGTTCCTTTTCACTCGCCCTCTCTATTGTTATATTAAAATACACTTACTTTCTTTTCTTTCCTTTATTTTCTCGACCCCCCCCCCCCCGCCCTTTTTTGTTGTTCTCTGACTTCTCTCTCTCTCTGTTATCCCCTCTTTTTCTCTCTCTCCTTTTCTCTCTCTCTTAATCCTTCACCCTTCGCTATCACTCCATTTGACCACCTTGTCTTCATTGCTGTCACTACCCTGTTTAGTTGTTGTTATTTTCTACAGAGCGGTTCACAGGCAGAATGTATCTCATCTATTCAACTTTCCTCAATAAAAAGAACAAGTCGTGGGTAAACACAAATAAGCTGCATACGCTTTTTATTTGTGAAATCGGTTGTTATTCTGAGTAAAATATTACAAAATAGAAGCTGTTTTTAACAATATGTGTCTTAATATATACTCGACATGCAACTTACGGCTCTATGTATTATGCAATGTTGTTTTTACAGCATGTTTAGGTTACTTCGTTCTTTTTAGATTTATTCAAAGATTCATTTACTTTTTCAAGACTATCTGGATGTTAACAGTTTCAGATTTATCAATTTCACAAATTACAATTTACAAATTAAATTGGATCAATGTCAATTGTATAACAAAAATATATCATTAATATCAAGTCCTATGTGCTGTTATGCTTTTTCTTAATGTTTAGCTTACGCATAATCATACACAAAGAAAGTTGTATTCATATTTCATAATTCCAAATTCACAATGGAAAAAACAAGAAGGATGGAAACAATGTATCTGGTAATATTTAAGGACTTCCTTTGTGATACGCTCTTCGTCATTATCATTACTATCTCCTTTCCGGTCCTCTCGGGGAGAGGCTGAGATTGTCTTGTAATCATTCTCCATGTTCTTGTCTATCCTAACTTAATCCAAAGCAACCATTAATTTATGTTCTTTAATCTCTGAGTATGATTCCGCATAATAAATTAAAATGCACTATAAAAGATTAACTGTTCTACAACAAAATCATTGATATCACTAGATACGAAATACAAGGCTATACAGAAGTGACATATTTATAAGAAGCAACGATCATAAAGGTGACTGCGGACATTTACTTTTTCTTAGTTTGAACTTTATCTAAACATCAGAATCTCCCAACTGCAAATTGATTGCCACCATCCGTTTGAACTGTCCACATGACTGCAGGGGTGAGGCTTAATCATTGAGGGTGGGGGTGGTATCGGGAATAGAATTGACATCAAAGAAGCTGGAAATTGTCCATCAAGACAATTAAAAAAGGGTCATTCATTGGGTGGATTTGCTGACAACCAATATGTATACAAATATCGTATTTGCCGACCGATAGTTTGAAAAATACCTCTACCGACGCCCCTGTCATAATTTGATTTGATTTTATTTTATTTTATTTAACGAAGGTTGCATGCGTTTGATTGAATGATTTTATTTACACACAGCAATGCAGTAATATATATATATATTAATTTTTCATACAATGTGTTTACATATAAAAGAAGAGAAGCTACTCGTTGGTAAAAAGGGCCAGATAATAGCACATGTACTAGTCGAGCCTAACCCCTTAAACAGCTAAACAAAGTATGTTGGTACAAATCAGTTTAGAAAACGTAATAACAACAAAATGAATTTACTATAACAATCGATTCTTTAAAAAATAAGAATACTTTACAATATACAAACTGATAATGTAAAATATAATTTGTGTACATATGCAGATTATCTATAAAATTGATATTTTGTTCATGATTTATTCAACAAATGACTTGTATTAGAATTCCAAAACCTATTTCTAGCCCTTGTTTATCTGACATTAACAGGTAATCTATTCCCAAATTCAATGCCCAAAGCAGACAATAACAAATTGCCCTTGTGAGTTGTGACGTTCTAAATCTTGGAAGACATAATTGTCAGCCTTCTTTTTGTCTTGTGGAATAGCTAAGCTCTTTAATGTCGCAGTACGCTATCAACAGATTAGGCAAATTGGCATCGGCCATATCAAACATGAAAGCAGAAGTTAATGAATCATGAAAATTATACACATTTCGGATTCGAAATCTTTTAAATATTGGAGCTGTAGGAGTTCTCCATTCACTAAATGTTATAGCACAAACTGCCATTTATTGTTTACAAAATATTCTTCTTAGGCTAATATTTCTAAATAGCACTTTTTCTTTCTAATACACTGATTTACAAAACGAATACGAATATTCTAAGACAAAATTAATGTCTATCAATGTGAACCCCAACAAAAATGGCAACATCACCCTTTTTAATTTCCTAACGATTTTCAGATTACCATTCATTCCTATTTTCCCCCTACTACTTATTAACATGAAATTATTTTTTATTGAATTAATTATAAGTTTGTTATGTTAATAATAAACCACTTATGTATCTTTTGTATGTTGATATTTACTTCATTTACATCAATTTCACCCGGTTCAGCAGGAATAGTATAAAATAGGTTAGAATCATCGGCAAACAACCGAAAATTGAAATAATCAGTAACTGTTGGCAAATCATTTATATAGGTCAAAACAGAGTTGGCCATAACACTGATCCTTTTGGGACACCACATCATATCTTCCCTCTTTAGATAACGTTTGACCACACTGAACAAACTGAAATCAGTTACAAAAATAGTCCTTCAACTATTCAAGAGGTAACCCTTGAATGCGTTAACTAGATAGGTTACATAGTAATATATAATAAATTATTGTGTCAAACTCCTTTTTTTTTTAATCGAAAAGCATACCAAGTGTTACTTTCTCCTGATCCATAGATTTCAAAGTTGAATTTATCAAGTTGATCAATGACAATTAAATATATATATTTTTCAGGAAATCATATTGATGGTAATAGAATATATCATTTTGTTCTAAAAATGGGATCATATCTGATATTTATCGATTTTTCAAAAAACATTATCTATGACGGGTAGACCCCATATTGGTCTATAGTTACATTGATCTTCTCTTTGCCCTGTTTCGTACAGGGGAGTGATCATCGCATTCTTTATTTTATCTTGAACCTTGTGAGATTCTAATGACAGGTTAAAAAAACTGTATATTTATCTTTCATTAAGTTTGTGTCCTTCATATTATTTTGAAGCAAATCGCAGTAGTAATTCTGTTTTAAATTACCTAGAAGAGTGGTCAGTACATTTCCTTTATTTGTGTGCTTACATGTATCAACAAGATTCTGACGATGATTTGATTAATAACATTTGAAAATTGAGATTTAAGCTGTGTTTACCTCTTTTGAATTGTATACCGTATCCCAGTTATTGGCAGCAAGCTCTTCTCTAAATACATTTATATATCTATATCAAATTATTTTCTGTTATGGATGATAATTTGACATTCATCGCTAGAATTGCATTTTCCTTATCAATTTACTTCTGCCGGATAATAATTCTTCAAAACTAGAAAATTAGCTGTTGTGACTTCTTTTGAATTATATACCGTTTCCCAGTTACAGACAACAAGCTCTTCTCTAAATACATTTGTATCATATTCCTTGTAACATCTATCTTGAATTATTTTAATTTCAGAATGATAATTTAACAGCTATCGCTAGAATTGCATTTTGTTTTTATCAATTTACTTCTGCCGAATTTTATTTTCAAAACTAAAAAATCTGAGTAGGCCTAGTTTTCTTTCGATGACATCTCAGTGTGAAACAGATAGCTCTATGGCTGTATTGGAGTTGTTGCTCCCGTGTGATGCTTTGACGAAATTACGACCTGATCGAGAGCTAGTCGTCTCAGATTCTGAACACTTTGTACAACAAAGCTGTTTCCATTGCTTCCGCACCGCATCCTTCCTTAGACATGTAAGCACGAATATAAAGAACCCCTGTAAGGAGTTGAAGATGATAAAGAGAACTTCAGCAACGTCGTCCTGCAGGAGAACCAGGTAACCTGTAGACCAAGTCAAACCCATGAGGATAAGGAAGGAAACACCGGTCTGTGTTCTCTCGATACATGCTTTACGTTTAGCCTCGCGGTCTTTCCATACTCGTCCTGGGAGCCTGGCAGACTGGCCAAGTTGACGGATAGCGAAGATGAAGATGATAGTATTGATTACCAGGATGATGGCCATGGGTACAAGGATTCCTCCTATCAAAGCCCATCGCTGCACATAACAACTGTGGAAGAGAGATGGAGAGAGAGGGTGAATGAGCGATTGAGCGTGTGTTCGTGTGTGTTTGCGCGTGTGTTCGTGTGCGTGTGCGTGTGGGTGTGTGCGTGCGTGTGTGCGTGTGTGCGTGTGTGTGTGCATGTTTATCCTGCATTTATTTATCAATAATAATTATTAGGCATTGCTTAAAGTTTAATAATACCTCTCTCATTGGTTGGTTACCGATTGTGCAATCAATCGGGGCAAAAACAGTGGAAACAGTGGAAAGTACTTACAAATCTTGTAAGGCATAATCACGACGCAGTAGACCACTCGTTGCTCCAACAATAGCAGCTGGTACACCTGAAAAATAAGGTACTGAGTAAATGCCACTAAATGAAGTGATATGATAAACAATATGACATTCAATATTGAATCGCTATAATCCAGACCCAAGAACAATGTCAACTCAATTTAACTGAATCTCTAGTACCTTTGATTAAAAATATTGCCGATTTAAACCTTCTTCACGATACTATACTATACTATGGAGATTATGTATTATAATGTACAAAATAAATGAATATAAATATGTTGTCAAGATTCCCTCAATAACTTTGTGAGAAGTATTACGTGGAGTATATTTGGAAATGTTTCTTAAGATTAATGTAGAAAACTTACGTCTGCTACATTCAAAGCTATTCATTCTTCTTTCTTTTCTTGTAGTTTTTTGTATTCAATGAATGACATCTAACATTTCAAAATAAAATTAGAAGTTCACATAAATAAATCAGTCATGGAGAGTGAATTCTTTACGATCAAATTACTCACCCCAACCGAGCAGAGTCGCCTTAAGCATAAACTTCGGTATGTAATTATCGACGATTCGAACCATGGTCAGATAAATATGAAAACCTTCGATTCCCATCCATGTCAATGAAGATAGCGCGAAGAAATGTGTGAGGGCAGCAATGACGCTACATGGGATAATCTCTAATTCGGCAACGCGAAACTCTGCATCGAATCCGATGATGGCTAAGAAGGCAAAGTAGAGTCCAAGTAGTGTAACGCAGAAACATAGGAGGATGTAGAGCTGATTGTTGTCGCCCCGAGATGCTCGTAATTTCCTGTAGATAGTAAAATTAATGGAAAAGGTTATATTTAATTTACACAGATTGTTGTTCTTGTATAGATATTCCGGTGCCAGTAATATGTCAGAAACTGGTTTCAATTATGATTGATTTTTGTTTTAAACCAAATGGTAAATGACTAAACCTATCAGGCAAAATATGCCCAGGAAGAAAATGCATAGTGGGCCTGGCATATAAATCAATAAAATGCATAGATGTCCATAGAGCCCATAACGTACTCCAACTGCTCACAGCTCAAGAGGAATACAACGTATGCCTTTTGCATCTTTAAATTTTTATTTTTGGGTCCAGATTGCTGACATAAAAATTGTATAGCTGACAAAGACAGGAAAAGAATGGCACCTTTTTATACTTACCTGATCAAACTAATGTAGGTGAAGACAGTGATGATAAGGCTGATAATGGATACCCCACAACCTATGATGCTTAGCCATCGGAACACCTTGTTTTGTCGTCCGTCGGAGTAAATGTCCTTAGAATTTTAGGAAGAGAATATCACATGTAGCTTAAATTTTTAATATTTGATTTGCTTTTTTGTATCAACTCATTCTATTAAATATTGATTGCTCTATTTCTTTTGTTTTTATCTGCAGCGGTTTTATCTTTCCACATTAGCAATTAACGTAACATTTCACTGACACTGAAAATACTAACAAGAGGGCATTTTCAATCATGAAAGTCTTGAAATTCTGCCAGCAAAATCTTAAACTTCAAATCATGGGACACAGGATGGAGTGCAAAGTTTGTTTATCTCCTGAGATAAATTAATATTGAAATCAAATTGACAAGATAAATTCCCTACTTTGAGGAGTTTAATTAGGATTGTAATGGTATCATATAAACGGCAGTTTTATTTAAATACTTACCACAATCACTGCAAAGCTTGTAAAGTGGTCACACGCACAGGTCACACTGTTGATGTCGGTGATTTCTACATCCTCTGGAGCGGTGATTTGTGAGAAAGATGTGTCTGGACCAACTCTGATTAGTTTGCAACCTTGGGTTGACCAGTTCCCGATTCCAGTGTCCCAGAAAGTACAAACGGGGTCGTAGTTGTCAGCCTGTTTGATGGTAACAAACTCATATAATCAAGTTAATACCCTAAATGAATATTTAGCGGGAAAATGGTAATATATGTTATAGTTATTTTAAATCACTTCATTTTCAGTATATTTATAAGAAACTGAACAAATTGTTGAAAAACAGATAATCTGCGAATTGCCTACAAATGGCCCATTTTGAAAGTGCCTGCTATTCCTCCGGCCGGAATACCAAAACGAAATCTCGTTAATGACATTATTGTTTTGGTAACCAACATTTAAATTTGCTTTGTAACGAAACAATATTTTATCTATAGGTCTAAAATTAAAAAAAACAATATCAACTAAATTCATATCAGCAATTTTGTATCAACTAACTTCTTGCAATGTAGAAAATGAGCATTGTTGTCACTGAGTTGTGTCTCTGTATAGACATATCAAAATCAAAACCCGTTTCTGCTTACCCGCATGGACCCATTCCTTCGTTAAAATTCCAAAGACTCGTTGAAAAGCTGATGATCGTACACTTACTCACACTGCACCCAAATAATTTTCAGTAATTCAGCTACTTACACACACCAATTAAAGAAATTCTTGAAATCTAATCTCTTCCTGGCATAGTTAGACTTAGATATCGAATATATTATCTATTAATTTGCAAATGTTGTGAGATGGTTGTAATGTGTAGGGCGTATGCAAAATCAGATCTTCCTATCCTGTTAGCCCACAATATTCACAAAATACTACAAGGCAACAGACAACTCACAAAAACACGAAATAATCACTCTCAAAATTATACTGGGAATATGTTATCCTGTGAAGATATCGTTAATTTTTGTTAATCTTACCATGATGTTGGAGAAAGTTATATTGACGCGTTGCCACAAGTCCTCAATCTTCCGTTCATCAACGATGACAGTCATCACGGGTGTGTTTACAAACCTGCTGAAAATGTCGTTATTTTGGTTGACACTTCGTATGTATTTAGAAGGATATAGGACATCACTAACATGAACCATGAATACGATTTTAGCAGACTCCGTCATTGACGTGGTTCCGTCTTGAAACGGCAGACGTAGCGCCTCCACAGGAATGACAGTCTGTACAAGTGTTGTTTCAATTGGAATGATTGAACTAGAATCTCTAACAGCAACTGTGGTGTTTGTTTCTGTGAAATCGGTGATGTCAAGACCAGACAATCTTATCACGATGCCATCAGACGAATCTGAACTGGAAATTTGTTGAACCTGAAATTGAATAATGTTAATATTATATTTATTTTTGTATGTGTATATTGGTTTTTAACAATATTATATTTCTGTCTGAATATTAGAAATAAAAAAGATATCAAAATATATATAAAACACGTCACTTTGATAACAATACAGTACTGAAACTCAAGACATTCATCTGACCATTGTAGTAGGTCCATGATCTGACCAATTCAATTGTTTTGCAGCTAACGCTGTGAAACGAAGGGCATTCACGGGATGGAGAGTGGAGGAAGTGTGCGAGAAAAATCTTCCCCTGTAAGGGTGAGGCAGGGGGTTCCCTTTTTACACTTAAAAAACTTTTTTTTTCAATTGTATGTTTCATCAGCGAATATTCTATAGCCGCCCCCAAAGCCCACCTTGATTATTTCTTTATGAAGTGCATCATCAACTCGGCAAAATATAATTTTATATTAAAGTCAAGGATAGAAGCTAACCTAACGAGAAAGAACAAAACACGATTACCTTAACAGCGATGTTGTCAAACTTTTCGTCATAACCTGTGAAGGAGTTAACTTCGAGATAACCGAGTTGCTTCTCAAGACCCTGGACTAATCGGGAGGGTGAATTACTTTGTTCTTGAGCGTCAAATAATTCCTCCTCATTCACATTTATTATGTTGTTAACAACTTGAACATAGGATGTGGTCACCTGTAAATAAAACATATTTCTACACTGTCGCTCATATAGTTGGAATATTTTTGTTTTACCCCAATTTATGGAATTATTTTAGAAATAATTTAAAAATAATAGATCTAGATAATAGTATACATTCTCAGATTTTATTGAATAATAATTTGACAATATGTGTTTTGCGTGACCGCTAAAGCATGTGTATGCTACAATGCTTATCAACTAGGGGACCTACGCCCTTAAGTCATAAATGACAGTAATGAGGATTAATGACCCACAAAAAAGGCACTAATATAGCACATCGACAGGGTTTTAATCCTGGGGCCTCACAGTTACGAGGCCATTGCTTTGTCACTGAACCATGACTGTACGCAGCGGGGGCTAGGGTAGGGGCAGTTTCCATGAATTAAAAAAAACAACAGAAAATGTAATAAATTTTCAATAATTTATTGCATTTAACCCGGGTTCCCAACATAAACAAATCCTCCGTGTGCCCATGCCTTGAGCCATAATACATGGCTGTCCAAAGGATTTGTTTATGTTGGGGAACGGGGTAAAATGCAATAAATCGTCCCTATTTTAACGAAGTGACGGTAGTGAATGAAAATCGCATACAATTTGCGTGCAGATTTTCCTCACTACCGTCACTTCGTGAAAATAGGAACGAAATTATTAAAAATTTATTGCATTTTCTGTTTTTTTTTTTTATTTATGGAAACTGCCCCATACCCTAGCCCCCGCTGCGTACAGTCATGGTTCAGTGACAAAGCAATGGCCTCGCAAATGTGAGGCCCCAGGATCAAAACCGTGTCGATGTGCTATACTAGTGCCCTTTTATGAGACATTAATCCTCATTACTGTCATTTATGACTTAAGGACGTAGGTCCCCTAGTTGATAAGCATAGTAGTATGCACATGCTTTAGCAGTCACGCAAAACACACATTGTCAAATAATTGTTCAATAAAATCTGACAATGTATACTATGAACTAGATCTATTATTTTACATTATTTTTAAAACAATTCCATAAATTGGGGTAAAACAAAAATATTCCAACTAAATGAGCGACGGTGTATTTTTAGAAAGAGCTTTTTTCATTCTTGATATTCTAAGAGTATTAAACAAATATTTACTAGAGCTCACCGTCTTCTTCTAAAAGTAAATTGAAGACATTATATTCTACTCTGACAAGTGCAAGGCAAAAAGGAGTACTTTTTTACAGTAAATAATAATTTGGAACTTGTGAAAACAATAGGATAAACAAATGCATGTGGCTGTTATAAAATCTGTTCGAGATTAGCCATGTCATGAAAGTGAGAAAAATTAACTTAAGCGCAGAGTCTTTCCCGTACTATTCCACTATTCGGTTGACATAGCTGAGAATAAAGCCAAGTAGGTATTACACATTGTTATACATTTTTACCACGGTCAACGAGGGCGCAGGAGTTATGCAGGCTCTCGCCTCCCCTGGTGGCATATTTAGATTAATAAAACATTCTATGGGGCTAAAATCACTGGTTCTAAATTGAATGTTCCACTCATCCTAGGAAAAAGAATGATGTGCACTCACATTATAGTCGCTTGAATTCCACCACACAATACGATCCATGATGTCAGCCACAAGATTCGCCTCATAGGCCGTGAAATCAGCTGAATGCATGGTAATGATTGCGGTCCTGTATGCACTTTCTTCAAGATTTTCATCTGTAATTCCTTCCTGTTTGTCAAGGAACAGCAACACAAAGACCGTGTTAATTCTAGAGGCCATTGTGAATTTTTTTTTTTTTTAACTGTATTTAAAAAAAGTAAATTTTAAAGGATCCGTAACCGTCTTCGAAGTTTGGTATAGATATGCTGGGGTTCATCAAGTTCCATTATCCCCATGAATTCAGCTATTTTACTTAAGCTAAGTAAAAAGCACCATTGTGACAAAATCGAAGGCACCTACCTCTAATATCTCTTCCAAAAGTTCCCCTGCCTCACGGAATTCTCCGCAGTTTTCTGCAATAGTCCAAAAATAGCCGAACTCTTCCTCGTTACAATGGCCAGTTAAAATAGGGTCTCCAGCTTTAAAAAAGGAAGAATGGTTTCAATTAAATGATGTCGAACACACAATCGTTTCCCTTTTATTATTTGACCTGGTGATAGTCAATCACCTCGTTTGAACTATACATTTCGTCCACTCGTACCACAAGATTGTCCTATTTTTGACTAACCTAATTACGTATTTCTGTGACTATAGCATGAGATTGGAGAAAACTGATACTTGTTAAAACATCTGCAAATAATTTATTGGCAAATTTAGACAATTTATCAACATTTATTTCAAGATTTGTGCACCCAATTATATGCATTTCTATATATCATAGGTTATCACAGCAACTTCAAGAGTATGGTTTGTTTTACGTCCACTTCCTGAAACTTGTAATACCGCACTATTATATAACAATACGTGTGTTTTCCCCGCCAATTTCTAAAACATTGTCAAATTCCTTTATTTACCTTGTGTAGTATTAAACGGACATGCTTCACTTGAGTTCAATACAGATCCCACGGTGGACCGTTCCAGGGTGGCATTTCCATAGACTGTATTCTGGGATTTCGTCTCGCAGAAAGCACCTAATTATGAAAGCCATCATCATTATATACAGTAAATCTTTTCAAACATTTATGTGCATTCTAATTGCTTTGTTTATTTTATTTATTTATTTAATCATTACCACAGGGTTCATCGTATTACACGGTATGATCAACACGAGATTAAACAAACAATAGCATTATACTTTAAAAACGAAGTTACAATCATACAAAGTTTACAGAAGTGCTTTACGATGTAGGAACACGTAGCAGTTTGGCAATATAAGCCCAAGGCTTGAAACGTTGGCCTACCTATACAATTCAATTTAAAATATATTCTCCAAGTAATACAAAACAAACACACTAACCATTCTAAATATAGGATTTCCCGGCCAAATTCGCGTGTTTGTCATTCGAATTCATTTACTTTGCATTTAAGTTAGCGCAGATCGGCTTTGCCATGCCAATTATCATTCAATTGTCCAGTTTTTGTATTTAATTTAGGATTTTGGTCGAAGGGTTTCATAGATCTGTCTTTCAATTTAGAAACTGCTCAACTAGCATTCAAATTAATATTCACTTGTCGAAGCGTAATTTTTATCATTCAAATTAACACCTGTCATTCGTATTCGTAATATTTTTTATTCAAGTTAGGAATGTTAGGGGGAAGAATTGCAACAAACTTTTACAGTTTTTAAATAATGCAGTTAAAATTCATGAATTGCCATTGGGTTCTAAGCTGTTATTCCATTTATTAATTTTCAGGACAATACAGATGGGTGTAGTCAGACATAAAGTAAAGAAGGGGCGAAATCAAGGGATATGGCATTTCTGCACGGACATGTTCATATACCCGGGAAAGGTGGGGGTACCCTCAATCGCCCCTTTTTACTACAGACTCGGAATTTTACAAAAATTATTCACATCGTCTCTTATACCCAGCACACCCCTCTGTTTTTCTTAAAGAGTTTCATAGTTTACTTGCCCGCCAGCAGATCGATGGCTAAAGACATGGCTAAATATAATAAATCATGTTTAAATTGTTGACTCTAGTCCCTACCCCAGTCACAATATTGTACCCTTCTTCCATGAAGAAATTATGATAAATTTATGACGAAACATAAGACAAACAACTTCCTTACATGAACATTTACAAATATATTGAGACCATCAGGTCCGTATAGATGCAAGTCGTTTTTTTCTTCTTAACAATCAAACTTAAATGCTGATGAATATCAGATAAATCTAATAAGTATAAGTGTATACATGCAAGAAAATGAAATATGATGAAATACCAAGAAGTTACCAGCCACAATCTTGAAAGAAAAAGAACGAGCTATAAAAAGTGTGTAATAAACGAGAAATGTATATTGACCATCAATTTAAGTGCACAAAGTGCTAATTTGAATGCTACAAATGAATTAGAATGCTAGAAGTACACCGCCGCGTTGTCAGAAAATCGTGTTGCACCAAATCGAATGACCAAATAGCGAAAGAAGCACATTGTTCATTAATTTGAATGAAACATACGTAGATTCTAACGAAAATTCCATAGATTTAAAAACTAGAAAAGGGAATACAAACCCGAGATATACCTGACTGCACTAAAACCGTCGAATTTGAACGCAATACAAATTAATTTGAATGACAAACTCTCGAATTTGACCGGGAAATCCTATATTGAAGAGTTTCATAGTTTACTTGCCCGCCAGCAGATCGATGGCTAAAGACATGGCTAAATAATGAATCATGCTCAAATTGTTGACTCTAGTTCCTACCCCAGTCACAATATTGTACCCTTCTTCCATAATGAAATTATGATGAAATTATGATAAATTTATGATGAAACCTAAGACAAACAACTTCCTTACATGAACATGTACAAATATACTGAGACCATCAGGTCCGTAGATGCAAGTCGCTTTTTTCTTCGTAACAATCAAACTTAAATGCTGATGAATATCAGAAAAATCTAATAAGTATAAGTGTATAAATGCAAGAAAATGAAATATGATGAAATACACATGAAAAAAACAATCTTGAAAGAAAAAGAATGAGCTATAAAAAGTGTGTAATAAACGAGAAATGTATATTGACCATCAATTTAAGTGTACAAAGTGCTAATTTGAATGCTACAAATGAATTAGAATGCTAGAAGTACACCGTCGCGTTGTCAGAAAATCGTTTTGCGCCAAATCGAATGATCAAATAGCGAAAGAAGCCCATTGTTCATTAATTTGAATGAAACATTCGTAGATTCTAACGAAAATTCCATAGATTTGAAAACTAGAAAAGGGAACATAAACCCGAGATATACCTGACTGCACTAAAACCGTCGAATTTGAACGCAAAACAAATTAATTTGAATGACAAACTCGCGAATTTCCTATACTAAATATTAATCCTTAATACTTATGAAAATAGTTAAAATGAAGAATTAAACTACTGCAATACATTTTGTTATGATGCTATAACAAGCTTATTACAAGCTGCCCAACTGAACAAAAATATCAAATAATGTTCCTTAATAAGTGGATGATACATGTATAGCATTATACAGATCCGAGTAATTCTACTTTGCAGATGACGAAAACGCAGTATAGAATATCAAGCGGTAAAAGCAAATCTTATGTGTCCCATAAGGCTAAGCGGTTTTGTAGTTAAGGGGCGAACTTACGAGATTGACATACTTTTCCAGTGAACCCATAACTGCATCCACAATAGTATGTAATATCGTTGCCGTCTACCTCACTGTAGCAGGTTCCTCCATTAAGACAAGGAGTCGTGAGACAGGAAAACCCTACAGAGACGGCACATAACAAAGTAAAGACAAAAATGAAGGCAGGTCAACCTTGCAATAACATCGTGAAAGAAGGGATCTCATATCAAGTGGAGGTGTCGTGGTATGGGTCATTCACTTGACTCTCAAGCCAAGGGTTAAAGATTCGAGCCCAAGCCCAGCACTAACGTCATTTGGCGATATGCCACTCTCTATAAATAATCATTCATCATTTTATTTATAATAATAAGAAGAAGAAAAATCTTTTAAAGTCCACTCCAAATTTTATTAGGTTAAACCGAAAATGGAAATTCTTTTTGTCCGATTGATCGTGAACTCGGCAGCCACTGAGCATCGCCGAATCGACGTTGCTCTATCCCTTATTGTTGAACGCCAAACAAGGTCGCAGCAAATCCTGTCTTTTAACGTCTTTTGGTATGACGTGGCCGGGGTTCGAACCCACGACCTCCCGGTTGTGAGGCGGACGCTCTACAGACTGAGCCAACACACCGGTATCTTGAGGTACCCGCCAAGTATCCTTTGGCACGACATAAATATGACATCGTTTAATTCAATGATAAATGGGAGAACTTCTTTCCGAGCACAGGGAGTTGAATTGGCCTTTCTTGAAACAATCGACAGTTTATCAAATTTTAAGTTTGGTGTGTCACCAAAGTCAATAACAATGTAACGAAACCAATCTTATAAATTGTATTTGTCATCGGAACTGGTCTTGATACTAAGTGTGAGGAAATACGATATTAGTTTTTATGTAGAATCCTAAGTGTTTCACTTCGTGCCCCGTCTACATTATCAACGATTTTCATTTTATTTTTACCTGGGAACCTATGACTGTAGAATTATACGCATTACTGTTATGGAATTGTGTTAATCAATCTCAAATATCAAGCTCGTTGTACAATTTTAAAACAGAGATACAGTTCTGTTGAGAAAAATATACTCCCAAACCTTTTTAGTTCTAATCAAGGATCTACATGTATTTTCATTCTACTACTCTTATTCACTAACCTATTAAGCACGTTGGGCCTTGGAAATCTTCAGTGCAAGTGCAGAGATATCGGTTGATACTGTCCGTGCATGTACCTCCATTGGCACACGGTTGACTTGTACATTTATTGACATCTGTGGAATGTGAAAGCATATATAACATAATCATTCACCGCATTCCTCCCTACCTGTAATCCGCTTTCCTTTCTACTTTGTATTACATTCCTCCCTTAGATTATGTAGTGTAAATGTGAGTTAAGACATTTGAAACTTATTCTCACTCACATGGTAATATGTCCTATAGCTACAGCAGATTGGGAAATAGATTTTGAATATATCAAACTTGATATCAAACTTGACGCTATTATATTTTGCTGTAATGAAATAGCCCATAAGTTATAAGCTGTGAAATAATTTCGGATAAATGGAATAGAAAGAGGGGTAGGAGATAGCAGGAACCAACATACAAACAATTGTATGCTTTACAATGGGTTTTAGTCCAGAAAAGTACCCACCCTTTAAAAAAGACTGTCCCATGCTTTTATATTCTATTGTACACGTGAAATATTCACCGAATTGTTCAAGAGGCTTGTGTATACATGCAAACATAATAAAGGCAGCCCAACCCTTGTAATGAGTTCATTTCCATGAAAGCAGAAAAATAAGAGAAAAAGAATGGCGAAATAATA